AAACAAATGCCGGATTAGAGAGGGACGACTGTATACGACTTTTTTGTATGAACGTGCGTATCTCCCCCAGCCTTTTTCCGAGCGACCCTGTACTTCGATGTACGTGGGTTCAAATTTCTCCAAAAACCTGACTGCGTGTACGCGTCAAGAACTGTGCCTGTCTGATGACACGACCACCCGTTTTGGTTTTTTCACCATAGACGTAAACGGGAGTCGGAGAACGTGGTGTGATGACGGCCTTATCGTCCGCGCCCGCCCCAAATTTTCACCCTCCCCGCCGAATTATTTTATTTTTTAATACTGGTAAATGTACTGTATGTACTGCGGTGTACAGCCTCTAATCAGCATGGCCGTAGATTTTCAAAGGTCAAGTCCACAGACTAAACCATAACTTAGTTGCTATGGGCTTGAAAAGTGAAACTGATCATATTAAAGCTGCCTGATTTTCTTCGTTTTTTCTACGTAACGTTGGTTGTTCCACTTTCCATTATCCTCTGGGGTTGCGAACACCTGCCCTACAGCCATAAATGCATAATAAAAAATAAAATTAAAAACCTCCCGTCCGGCCGATTTCTCGGGAAAATCTGACGATAAACAATCTATATTTACATGGCCTTTTAATAGCAAGCAAGAGTTTTTTTTTTTTAGCAAGGAGTGTTTTCACTAAAGTTTATCCAAACCAATCGAAATTTAGCATGTACAGGACAGTACTAGACTAGTCATTCTAGCCATTTCTTTGAAGCTCGGATCGCTAAATTACTTCATCGCAAATTGGTACAGATCCAGAAAACGCTAAAAATTTACTCGCTACAATTAGCAACTCCGTGGTGTATAACATGTTGGCACAGCACCAACTTCCACATACTACAACAACGCACAAACCGAGTCAAGAAAGCTAGTGTGAACTGTAGGCAGAGGCACTGGCACTTGTGAAGAGAAAGACGAAAAAATAAAAAGGCATAGGACAAAAAGATGGTACATGTAACATTTCTCTGCTCATCAGCAGTCTAGAATGTCACAAAAACAACATTCTACATACAGAATGGAAGACGGAAGCAAAAACAAAAGAGATCGCATGAATAAAAATAAACTGCAGGATGTGTTACAATCGGGATCTACGGCCAATAACTAGAGTAAAGCAACTGTGATCTTGCCCAGTGTAGGACCTGTTATGTTGTATGTATGTTTATGTAAATTGCCTGGGTCCTGCTATGTACTGATGCAAAAAAATAAACACCGCATTCAGCCGTGTCCCAGTGCAAACTCTACCAGTAAATAATACCCGCAGGACCTTGCTTCTGCTCAAAAATCATTTTCGACAGGGCCTAGGAAGCTTTTGAAGCTGTATGCTGTAATGCAAGCAGCGTGAAGCGCAACTGGTGCACAGAAAGGAGATGGACCCCATTGGGTATAGACAATAGAAGTAGGCCCAAGAAAGAAGGTGGATTGATACGACAAGAACAATATTGCGAGGGAATGAAGCAAAAGTGTGCGCAATAATTAATAAGTACAAGAGAAATGAGCATGAAGTAGTGGTGCATCACTGGACCAGAAAGAACATAAATAAGTACAGAACGAAAAGTTCAAGGAAACAATAAATCAATAATACACCTTTGCTCAGTGCCTCTGCCCATCAGCATACATCATTCCAACGACTAGGTATGCGCACGCGTACACACACACTATATCAGGGATAAAAGGAATGATTATAACACAACTGCACAGTTTGTGTAACTATCACGAAGTAAACAGGCTGCAAATGGTTCGTCCATTGGGCATTGATGATAACAACTCTGCACATGGGGTCTGCCGTGGCGCACTACCCACATTACGTACGCACAACAGGAGATTCAGCTGGCGTACTACACTATTGATCTGCTACGGTTTGTCCAGTCAGCTTGATCAACATTTCACTATGACATTGTAGTGAAGGCAGCGTGCCACACCAGGCACCCACAGCTTGGAGATCAGAGTTGAACACTTTGTTTAGTTATGTCCTCTTTTTCACGATATACAATGCAGGCATTGGCTTTTAGACATGAATTTATGGCATGCAAACACACGAGACGTCCATGAAGAAGCACAAAACCGTGTCAAACACATTTACGCACTAACTAAAAGGACAAGCTTTCGGCAGCCAAAGAAGCTACATACAGTAACTTTCTAGCAAACGATATACCGAAGTGGCAGGGCAGAGCCAAGGACAATTACACTGGGTGTCAACAACAGTCAATCCTCACAAAACAGTGTGGCAAAGAAGACAGCGACTATATTCAAGACGAACCCAGGGCTGCATTATAAAAACTTGTGTTTTCAACAAGATCCAATAAATGTAGCCATGTGCTTTTGTTACATACCTGTACGCTACATAGTTTATACTAGGGCTGAAACGATCGTGGATTTTCACGTATTGATTACTCTTTAGCTTAACGATCGAGTAATCGATTATAATCGTTAGCAAATAGAGTCATAATTCTGTGCAAACGTTACTCTGTTTCCACAAACTATGCCTTCATAATAGAGAGGTTCCGCACTACGTAAAGTTGAGCAACTTACGTTAGTGGGCGGGGAAAACCAGTGAATTCGCGAGTTTGCACTCTACTTACGGAAAGTTGTCTACGTAGAGTACGTAGATAGGGCTCTGATAACGTAGCTGGTCCGTAAGTGGATTGAGGTACAAATTTATGACTCTCTCCCCAGGTCGATCTGGTCGTACACTGCCTCGTTCGGAGTTGCCAAGGGCAGCTACGTGATTTGAAAACTCCGTATGGCGGAATACAGATGCACATGAAGTTTACGTACGACTTTCCGTAGATCGACTACGTTTTTTACTAACGTAATTACGTTATGCGGAACCTCTCTAATACCAACAAATCTGCATTAGTGAAAGGGTAGCTCCGAAACATGGCAGTTTTGAAGTCAATATTTAACCTCAGAACATGAACCATACCCCTGGCAACTGCATACTACTCAAGCGGAAACTGATTCAAACTTCACAAAACGAGGGTTTACAGTACTTTCTGGACAGAAATTTAAAAAACGCAAAATAATCGTAATCGGTAATCTAAACGATTGCTCGATTGTTAGAGTTATCAAACGAGTACTCGATTATTCGGTATAATCGTTTCAGCCCTAGTTTATACACAATCCAGTACCATGCGTGTGTAAGAACGTCCCAGCCGGACTACTGAGAAACAATGTTGTTCGGTCCGCGACCTATGATGTACATGTACCAGTACTTATTCGCACACATATCAACCGTCAGACTTCGCTCATACAATACATTACACGTTACAATACCCGTCACGTTTTGAAATACGATGTACTGACAGGCGTTTCATGCAGCTGAATACAAAAAGGCACGTATACAGTAGAGTCGCGCGCTGAAGAACGTGGAACCCAAGAACGTCCAGCCTGAAATTCTAAGAACGCCACAGCCTTAAGCCCGATTCATACTTCATGTCGCGTACGGGAAACGCGTCGCGAAAAAGTTGATCTGAACTCAACTTTTTCGCGTACGGGAAACCCACCGCGCGATGGGTTACACGCATGCAGCACACGAGTTGTATTCAGAGACATCATTCACAATTCTCTCACTGATTAATGCCTCTACGATCACCTTGTGATTATGAGTTATACATACATGAGATACACATGATAGAGGACGGATTGTTTCTAAGAACGTGCCATAAGAACGCAGCCAGATTGCTGACAAAATAAGAACGTCCCAGGCTAACCCCTTGGGAACTACGTTCTTGGGCGCGTGACTCTACTGTACAGCTGTGCGCACAGCTTCTTTTGGATACAAACAGCTGGGAACAACAGAACGAACCTCGGTACAGGGTCTGCATACGTAATCCACATTTTCGTATCACGGGTACGATTTTCCTACCACGTTCCATGTTGTCATGGCTATCCGGACAAAACTTGACGTACGCCACGTTTTGGGCTTAGTATGAATGGGCCCTAACACAAATCCTAACTGCACAGTAAAGTCAAACGCCAAAGAACATGGAGCCATCGAACCCCCAGCTTGAAATCCGAAGAATGCCACATCCTAAAATTAAGGCATTGGCTTTGTTGTTGTACAGTAGAGTTGCGGGCTGAAGAACGTGGAGCCCAAGAACGTCGAGCCTGAAATACTAAGAACGCCACAGCCTAAAGTTAAGAGCGGCGGTGTTTGTTTTCTGGCAGCTTGTCGGATAAATAATGATCCAGTACGGATTGTTTCTAAGAATGTGCTATAAGAACGCAGCCAGATACTTGAAAAATAAGAACGTCCCAGGCTAACCCCTTGGGAACAACGTTCTTGGGCGCGCGACTCTGTACTGGAATAGGGTACAGCTTCTGTTTCACAATTATTGTACACAAGTACATCGCTATAGTGCTCCTCAATGAAATCCAGTAGCGTCACTGCAGTACGCGCAGGGCGTTGCAAAGCCATAGACCTGCGAACACTGGGCTGCTAAATGATTCAAGGCACAAACTTGAGTGACGCAACTGGATTTCATTGGGTAGCACTAGTGTATATCAAATCCTGGATAACATGCCTAGTGCGAGAAGATAAAAGCGGCCAAATTGCTCTCATCCCAGCCTTTGGAAACAAAATTCCCGGACGCAATGCTACCGTATTTCGCCGAACCAATATTATAGTGAACCACGGATACAATGTATGCATAACATGTGGATGTCGGCAAGGACTCAATATCTAGGTTCTGTACTCTTGTACGCATGTGCCGGAAGGGGGTACTAGTACACGCACATACCGGAATCACTGTACGATGAATACACCACAACTTGGATTACAGGAACATGCAATTGTAGTGCAGAACACCATTAGCATTTATTGGGTTCACCCACGTCCCGCATGTAACTTGCATTGCCTTCATAGTAGATGCTTCTATTGTTTCATTATTCGTAATAATTTTCAAGTACAGTCACGCAAAAATCATGCATTTTTCGCACAAAACACACTTACAATTACACTCTGGGCCAGGATACTCTTTTCCAATATTTATTGAAACACCAGCGTTTGCCAGTATAACAAAATGAAGATTAACGGTAGGACTTCTGGTAGCGAGCACGAGCACCTGGACCACCAAACTTCTTGGGCTCGCATCGGCGTGGATCAGCCACCAACAGGGTTCGGTCGTACTGTGTGAGGATGTCCTTGATCTCCTTCTTCATTGCCTCGTCGACGAACTTCTGGTAGTATGCGACCAGTGACTTTGAAATTGCCTGACGGATGGCATAGATCTGGGAAACATGACCACCACCACGGACACGGACGCGAATGTCGACTCCCTCAAATTTTTCTTTGCCCAACAATAGGACAGGCTCCTTGACCTTGTATCGGAGCGACTGAGGTGAGACCAAGTCCAAAGGGACACCATTGATCTTAATCATACCATTGCCAGCTTTGCAGAAGGCAACGGCAGTGGCCGTCTTCTTGCGTCCAAAAACCTGAACGTAGTTTTGTTGAGCAGCCATGATGGTAGCTGGCCGAGCTGGAAAGAGGAAGGGAATCTCTGTGTGCCATATCATATAGCAGTCCGCATGCGCAAGACCTCCAAAAAACTCCCAAACCTGAAAAGTTATTTGTCTTTTCACGCACAATCCGTGGTAAATCGGTATTAGGCCTAGATCCTGAATCGTTCGCAGGACAACATCAGTGTTCTTGCATAAAAACACAAATATTACCCACAAAAAAAACGAGTCACGGCGTGAGATGGGCTACCCAAACCAACCAAAAGGAGCATGAATTTTTATGAAACACTTCAAAATACTCCAGAGTAAAAGGGTCCGGGCAGTGGTGTGGCCTGAGCTAAACAGTCCAACAAAAAGACGTGCAAGGTAGTGTAGGTGTTTTCTTTGTCTCGTTCAGCACGTATTGATATCCAGACTGCGAACTAGTAATTACTAGTATCACAGGCACCACCGGAGGATGGACACAGCGAATGCGTTCTGCGAAAAACAGCCGAATTGTCTTCACGAAAGTAAATAATTTATTGCAACTTCCCATTTTTATTATTTGAATACAGCTAGCTGCAGAAGCTTTGTGTTGCAAAATAATTATGAATGATGATCATAATTTTATTGATAACGACGACATCGTTCTCGACCCAGTAACAAAAAGGTAGTGATTAGACACTGGACTATGAGAATACGCTTGACCATAAGATTCAGGCTGGGAATGGATGGATGGGAAGGTGGCTTAGCAGTCCACTAACTTGAGGGTATAAACATGAGTTATTCTCGAATCAGCTCCGAAATGTTGTACATCATGTATTGAGCGAGAGAACCTGTGTCCACTACATGACATGTACGCATGTTGTGGGGTTGTTCTCTCTTGCTCAACAACATACTCTCTTGCTCAATGCAACATTTCGGAGCTGATTCAAGATATCCTCATGTTTCAATGATACCCTCAAGTGGACTGCCAAGTCGCCTTGCCATGCATCCATTGTGCACAACAGTCAACACTCACAGTGTTGGCTCCTGCACTGACAAGAGCTGGTATGGGGACTCTATCCACTCACTGTGCGGAGCCATACTATACTATGTATGCGTAACACATTACTGTGACTGAACGAGAATTACAACACGTAATTCATGATGACGAATTTTGTGAACCATTGTGGCAAAAAAATATTGACCCTTGTAAGTTGTACGAGTATATGTATAAGTACACTAGGGAATCGTCAAATACCATTTGACGACTCCCTGATGTACACTCATACCTCGTTTATTCGGGACCGACTCCGACTCACGGCCCATAACTTCGAAACTGTCCGTAACTCCGAACTTCAGTCACATCGTTTGATGGCCCGCGAAATGCCATCATCAAGATATGGTCACATGATATGGCGTCACTATTTGCACAACGAGTGACTCAAGAGTAGTAATACACATGGTTTCCACTGAAATTCATCCAAAGGGTGACCGGTAGACTGAAAGTTCAGTGTCCGGATAACTGTGGTATCCTTCAGCCAAGACAACACTGAGTATGAGTACAAATGAAAGGAACAGTTTTCGTTCACTGATTGATTGATTTTTATTTTTGAGGATTGTCTCTAAAGGCCACAGAGGCCTATCGAGGGGCTCTCCTTCATAATGAACCACTGATGTCTTCCTCTCTTCCTCCTCTTTCCTTACACAGGAGAGCCTCGATAGGCTTCCGCAGCCTTTGGACAATCATTTAAATTAAAATAAAGCTATAAAAGTAAAACAATCAATCGATGTCTGGTGCTCTCGTGGTGCTCTCGTAGCATGCCGATGCTGAGACCAATGTGGGTCAGTGGAGTGCCTCCAGACTCACCAACACAGTCAACGCTGCTACCCTGCAGCACGCCGCCTTCCCTTTGTTCTATATTCACTGTCCTTTTCAGTCAAGTTCTCCCATTTTCCCTTTCCCGGTGGTGCAGTGTTATTGAAGTAAAAAAAAATCATGTAGGGCTGCATGCATGTAAACCAGAGAGTAGTACAATACCGGTATTGTACTACCAGACTACTGAGCACTCCCTGATGTAAACCAAGTGCACTCATACAGTCCGACATGGGTCACATGACGGCAATCATGACGTGTTGCTTGTATGGTGGGAGTGCATCACGGTTCTACTAGAAAAACTCTGGCTATAAAAAGGGCTAATTCTCCTGCACGGGGGTGTTCGTAGTACCAGGGGTCGACAGTACATGACTGTACTCCCCTTATCCCAGGCGTGATACACTGCCCGTAACTTGGAACATACATGCACAATCACACTGATTGCGTGCAAGCAAGGTTTACGTACTAGTAGGTGGACTTCTATATTGATCTACTAGCAGCTGAAGTAACGACTTAAAGACAAATTTATGACGCGAGACTGATCAGAAAAGTGCCCAGATCTGGGGAGTTTGTAGTATGCCAGGACTTTTCCTGTATTCTTGATGCCATGCATGATACACACATCTACAAGTCCACACTTTTACTTCCAGGATATGTACTCAGTGGTATCACGATTCACGATCATCATTCATCATAATAATAATTATTATCATCATGCTGATCGCAAAATACTTCATATGAACACCAAGATTAACACAACTGCCCAGGCACTACCAGTACCAACAGTACGTCACTGTACGTGAAAGTTAAAATGCGTTTATGACGCCAGTTCCAGCTGACGTTCGCCGCCATCACGGAGCTGCATGTACAGAAACACGACCCTTTAGCATACAGGCCCGGAAGCCAGCTTCTGAAGGGTGAGACGGCTACAGGGCCGATCACTCACCCACACACGGCTTCAGTGTCGTGGGATGGTGCATTTCTATGCATCACAGACGGTTGTTTCAGCTCAGCTTGTAAAAGAACATCAAGCCACCGGATAATGGAGAATAAGAATAATTTCGGGCTAAAAAACTGGCACGGCCATGACCCGAATAAAAATAAATAATAATACTCGCCGTACCAGTGGCGCCAGACCTGGCACAGGCACATCTAAAGCAGTCTATGCCCGGTAACGCACTTTGATCAACCTGTCAATGGTTGAAAATGAAGCTCTGAGGAATCGAGTGACGATGATTCCAAGTGAAACTGAAGCTGTGCGAAAATATTTGGTATAATAGTATACATACTTCAAGCAAGTACATCCATTCATTTTCTCGAAGTGTTTTGTTCCACTGAACCGAATTTCTTGAGCACAAGAACTTCTACAAGTAGGTCTGAATGTGAATAGAAAAGTCACGAAGTTTTGCTTCTGGAGGAAGTACACATGTAAGGCTCTATGATAGTCACTACAGTACATTGCCACATTGCAAGACCAACAGTGACACATATATTCTTGCCATATTTCACGGTGCCGGCGGCATCCCTTGTTAAAAAGGGGGGGGGGGGGGATGTATTTGGCCCAGCCAAGATTGAAGATGAGAGAGAGAGAGAGAGAGAGAGGTTGCATCATGCGATGGAATGCTCAGAACCAACATGACATGAACTGTGCCATATGGTACAGGTGCACTGATGATGCTCCTTGGAGACCTTTGGGGTACTGTATAAGCAGAAATATTCGTCTGGAATTTAATTTCGTCTTTTTCGTCCAAGGAGCTTTTGGACTAAATTAAATGTAGGACTAATGTCGATTTGCCCAGCTTTTCTATACACTCTTATGATCCATGGACGAACTCCTTTTCTTTGGAGTTGGACGAAATTATTCACCGACGAAATTGTCTGCCTCTACAGTATGCCACAATCCACAAACGGAGAACGTACTACAGTGTAGTATGCCACCCAAAGTGAAAAACATGCGGATACGATACACATACTATATTGTCGTGCAACACAAGCATTGCATGTACACAATTACAGGAAGCAGCAGACACTTACGCCACTGCTGATTTGTACATGCACACACACACACACGGAAACCGCCAGAGAACGTCACTGAATTCTACAATGTTACAGTCAGTCTCGGAATGAGAACTAAGTAAAAGAAAGTAAAGGGTGTGGATTAAAGGAAAAAATAGTCAAAATGATACAAGAGACTCATAAAAATATTTTAAAAATATGAATCATTGAATTCTAATCATGTACATGTACATAATATATCCTACTACGAAGTCAACAAACAATAGAACACGGTTGTTTGCAGATAGGAGTATGAAAACCAAGCCGCATTGAAACCAGATGAATAGTGATGTAGGGTTCATCAAGTGGCTATGACAGCTGCCAGAGTCATTGCGTGGAGGAGGCATGCAGCTTAGCTCATTGTGCCAAAGACAGGGTTGTGGCGTGCAATGCTGGGGCCCTGCTCGTCGTACTGTGCCTTGGTGTGGCACACCTGGTAGAACTCTGGTGTACTGGCCAGCATGGAGCCACCGAACCAGACAGCATAGCGCTGCATGTGGTGAGTGATGACGTTGACATCGATGGGCTTGGGCTTGATGCGGCCGGAGCTCAGCTCCGCAGAAAGCTTGATTCTGGCATCTACGACACGCTTGACGTCACGTCCCAGACGACGACCAAAGTCCTTGAACATGGTTGAGCCACCGCTCAGAACAATGTTCTTGTAGAGAGGACGACGTACATCAATGGGGGTGCTCTGGATGACTACATCCACGGTTTCTGAAATCGGTGTGGTGAAGTCAGGGTTGCAGAACTCTGGGTGGAAGAACACTTCAGGTCCCAAGAAGCGCTCATAACCGACATCAATCTCCCAGTCCTTCTTGGTGACTGGGTGTTTGCTGCCATACTTCTTGAACCATTTTGAAGGGTCAGCGTCGTACTTGTTGAATTCCTTGGCAACGTCAGGACAAATGTAACCGAAACGTTCCTTGATAGCCTTGGCAGTCTCAAGAGATTGCTCAGGTGGAATGCCAGTCTCTCGGTCTCTGAGGATTTGCTGCACAAAGTATGTGATATCTCTACCAGCAATTGGGATGTGCTTGATGGAGCTACCAATGACGTAGCCCTCAGCTACAGGAATAACGTGAGTAACACCATCACCAGAGTCAATGACTGTTCCTGTCAGGGTACGCTCTCCTACTTGACGAGATGTCCACGATGCAGCCAAAGCCAGCACGGCCTGGACGGCAATGTACAGTCCGGGAACGTTGAAAGATTCGAACATGATCTCGGCTGTGTACTCCCTGTTTTCTGGGGAGTTCAGTGGAGGCTCAGTCAAAAGAAAGTAGTGATCCTCAGGCTCAGCTCTCAGATATTTGAAGATGCACTGCTCGTAAAACCGTTCCATCAAATCCCAGTCCTCCACAACACCATGACGAATAGGGTATTTGATGGCGTATCCAGTGGCGGACTCTCCTTCGTCACCGATGTAAAAGTCCAGGTCGTCAATGCCCTTGGTGACACGTTGCTGTGACTTATCGCCCACGCCAGCCTTCTCCTTGATGGCGATGCCACTGGGGAAAATAAATTGCGGTTCCGTGTTTCCGGCATAGCCCATCTTCGTGTACCCAGTACCGCAGTCCACGACTGCTGCTGGCAATCTTGCCGCCATGGTGAAAGCACACGGAACAGCACCAAACCAAAAAAGTGCAATTGACGGAAGCCCTCTTCCTCCTGTGAACAAAACACTCTCCGTAAGTACTGTTGTCGTGTCGGTCTGGTCGGTTGCGCTCTCGAAACCGCACAGCTGATGAGTGCTTTTTCCTTTTGCGTTTTGGCAGATTTGACCAGAGCTGAGTACAAAAAACGTAGCCAGGGAGTAGTATTTTACTACTCCTGGTAGCCAGAATTTTTCCTTTCTTCCAAGTCAGTGTACGTATATGTATCATCAAGAGTATATAACTCTTATATACTCTTGGTATCATTAGGGAGGTTTAGTTCCCACGTAACGGAAACGCGTACGTGGGTGATCCACGTAAAGTGGATGAAGGGCACCCACGTTGCAATGTTGTGTTTAGTCACACGGAACAAACAAAAGCATGAAGCGAAAGGCCCAAACCTGGTCAAAGACGAAGCTACCCGGGCCTAAGAAGCTCATCCAATATTTTTATTTCATGCTTCCGAAATTTCTTCAGCTGAGCACCCTCACAGCTCGCACAATGCGCTCCATTCTGATTTTCACCCACATTCTGGCGGAACGTGGGTGAGCCTCCATATGTATGTCGTGAATCAGAAAACGTCTGTACGTGGGTCACTGAGTACTATCACGTTGTACACACACGTAAAGTACCCACGGATTACGTGGGACTAAGCCTCCCTATTATCATGACTACATTGTAGTAGCAAGAGTGGGAGTTGCTAGTAGTGTTAGCAACAGTCAGTGTTTGGAGAGAAAGAGAATCGCACATAAACTACTTACACAAACCAAAGGAAAAGAAAACTCGAAGTGTTTTCCAGTCTTGCAGGTATCCGGCATTGCTGCACTATTCAAACAACTGCGAAGAAATAGGCAACTCAGTCTCAATGCCCAAACGTACATTCTCAACAAATAGAACTCAGGGCCAAGTCCAAGCCGAAGAGGTGAAAGAAAAGGACTTCATTGCTGCCCTTTACTCTACAGTAGTACAGGACACCGGTACCAAACATGAAATGGATGAGAAAACACTGAAATCATCGGATTATAATTTTCTCGGCAACCGTGGCATACTCGTTTGCAAATTCGGGCCGAATACCGGCTTGATAGATGATACATAAGGGCCACCAGAAGCAGTTTTCAATTGGTCAGGTCGCACCGTAGTCTTTCATACTTTGTGTATAATAAGTTATGGCGGGGACATATGCCCTCCTCAGCGTTCCGGCACGGGTAGCTACAAAGTTGGTCGGGTGTTTTAAGTAATCTGACCGGTAACTGGACTGGTCCTGCTGACTGGCCCGGTGTACATGACCTCACCATTAAGTCATGTATCAGTCGGTAGTGCACTTGTCACCCTATACACTGCCCAATATTCGCGATTTCTCACAAGCAGCAAGTTTACAATGGCAGATGTTCATGGAGCACTGATGCCACACACACACACACACACACACACACACACACACACACACACACACACACACACACACACACACACACACACACACACACACACACCGTTGAAGTTTGATTTCACGCTGGTTGGTATTCGCGTTACGCTCTTCTCGTGAACTTCATCAACTGTTACTGTAGAACTTCTACTCCTAGAATACCGGTATGTGCATGCAGCACTAAAATACCAGTAGAAACAGACAAGTCACCCAGCATGCATTTGGCCATGATAATGTCACAAGTTAAATCAATGGGAATGTACTATCCCAGGGCAGTAGAGACATCATCAGGGCGAGCTTAGTACGTCACACAATGCGTACCGGCAAGAGTACATGGCTCCATGCCATTTGAGCGCCCTCGAGTTCAGCGCCAACCAGGTGAGCGTGACCATTTCAGCGCCGTGAACCTAAGTGCCGAATTTTACAGCGCCAGCAGATAAGCGTCTATTAGTCTCAGCGCCACATAACTCAGCGCCAAATGTGTCAGCGCGACCTTTCTCAGTGCGGCAGATCTAAGCGCCACAGATCTAAGCGCCATGTTTCACAGCGCCGTTTTCAAGTATGTACAGTGAAACCTGTCTCCCGCTCAAGGGACTTTCAAAACGTGGTCTCTGTTATCAGGTGATCGCCTTATCCAGGGTTAGTTGACTGGAAATAGCATCCCTTGGTCCTGGTTCCAGTGGTCGTCTAGGACAGGTGGTCGCCTTATCCGAGTGGTCGCCTTGACAGGTTTTACTGTACACTCAATCTGCGGACAGCATGCTGTTTCGTTCTTTGTGAACTCATCAGCGCAGCACAGAGAAAATGAGGCCGAACTTGATAGCAATGAAAATAAAATTTCCAAAGCCAAATTTAAACCAGGCCCGAACGTACCTTGCCAGAGTACTCAAACTGACAAGTCAGTGAGCTCTGCGTAATGCAAACAGTAAAGGCACTACCCCACACGAGAGTGCTCAACTACTACAAGAGCAGGAGCGAAATACTCAATCTGATGTTTCGTTCTTTGTGAACTCATCAGCGCAGCACAGAGAAAGTATGTATGTATGAACGCCGCCTGTAATGACTAGACTGCACAAGTATTGACTTCGCGCTCTACTGTATCGCGCTGTACTTTATCGCGCTGTGATTTATTGCGCTGTATTTGATCGCACTGAACTTATTCGCGCTGTAAATTACCACGCCTTACTTTTTCGCGCTGAGTTGCTGGTGGTGTACTTTACCATGCTGATAGTAATGGTGCTGAAGAAGGTGGCGCTGTGAAATAATGCGCTGAAGTGCTGGCGCTGAAATGTATCGTGCTGAAACGGTGGCGCTGAGACGGTGGCGCTGAAGCAGCAAGTCACCGAGTACATACCCCCCCCCAGAGTGTGCAACGCCTGATCTAGCTCTGCATAGGGGTCTTGGTTGAGCGTAATCGGATCTTTGCGTCATAATACTGTACAGATCTGATTCCGGGCACGTCCCGGTCACAAGCAGGACACAAGATTGGTACACATAATATCAAAACCCTGTAGCACACGTACAGTTTGTGCATTCCAGCGCGACTTTTCTCCACCAAAACACCCCAGACTATGGACTCAAAAAACAAAGGTGACCTGCCTGGCGCTGGTGTGGAGCGTACGCATGATATCAGAAGATCCGACTACGCTCGACCAAAACCCTATGCAGGGCTGGATTAGGCTTTGCACACTGGGAGGGGGTATGTACTCTTAGTACCGGGGCTTAGCGGCATATTCAAAAATCAAAACCTATAATTATGTTGCAAGGAATCAAAAAACGCATTCTTGAGAATGATTTCAGCCCACACGTGATTCCAAATTTCCAAGGTCCTTTGCTTTCTAAAAGGACTGCAAGCCAGCACAGTTTGAAACCGGTAACCACTCGAGTGGCCTTGTAGTTTCCCCACCTGACAACACATGTAGAATGAAAACTCAGATCACAAGGGGCTCAACACCATGCCCATATTTCCTGTGATATACGATAGTAGTCGGGCACCAGTCACTTGCTAAAATTAATTTAAAACACTGAACAAACAACTACTACACAACTAACTTGCAATGCCGGTACCATTTTGTACTAATCTCTCTGATAGAGGAAATACATTTGGTGCGATGTTGCTTCAAGAATAACATTGCGTTTCAATACATGGCTTGTTTCAGCACGTCTGCACCAGAAACATGAAGCATGGTGCTGAGAGTGAGGAAGCACGCCGTGTTTATCTCGCCTCATTTCATTTGAATTCCGCCAGGTAAAAGTAACAGGCTGCATCATGGATATCTCTGACTCAATGGCGCGAAGTGCCAAACAGGTCACCACTACCTAAAACGGAACTGGACAAACTGAAACCGCACCATTTTTTCTCTGAGCTGACTTACATGCTTGACTTGCTTGACTTAGATATGAAAAACTACCGTAAACTCTAGTTTGACCTCTTTCACCAGCACAACACATGGCACAAACGGTTATGGTGTACATGTATCAGCATTACTGCGCAGCGGACAAGAAAATCAGAAGGCAGAGAACGATTCAGTAGAGCATGTGTGGTCAGAAATAGATAATACTATTGTTATGATAAAGTCCATGTGTGCATGGCACGCGTATGCGTGTGTATAAGTCCAGACAAAACTCACTTCGCAGGATCAGAGGGTGGACACCAGAGGGGATTAGGGGGACATGGCTGACATAAATTATATCACTGTGATAGAAAGCTGTATAATTATATCATTGTGTTTGATAAATAGGACGAACAGTGCTAGGAGCTCTCCAATGCACATTGTATTGTTGAACAGCACTTTGGTTACATAGAAAAATGACTTGTTTGACTTCTGATCGAAACGATCAAGCACAGATTATCACAGAAAGGATGAAAGAAGTCACGAGGATACTTTTCTGCGCGGTGTAAAGGTCTGACACGATATGAAGTGCGTGGGAGGGAAAGCAACATTCGATTCACGTCACAAGAAAAAACGCATACCGGCAGCACTATGACAACGCCTTATGTTCAGTTCTGTTTTGAGCGTACACAACACGTGACACACTGGACACAACCTTAGACTGTCAAGACAAGCCTAGACTTACAATTAAATACTACAGTGTCTACACTATGTGTATGGGTACAGTTGTATGGGTACAGCGGTGAACCTATTGCACTAGCAAACTACAAACAATATGAGCAGTTACGAGCAAGAAGCAGCACGAAAATACATACAATCTCTAACATGCTGTGCAACACAGACGTGCATTCCAACGAACAAGAACAAGAACTGAGGCATTCTAACGATATAGACAATTCGTAGACTCGAACAGGCTTGACAAAACATCCCGGAATCACGGGCAGGGTGAAACGGATAGACTGGTTAACTAGTTTATGTAACGGTTAGCATAGTGGTTCCAGTGGCTACAGTACATCGCACTGCACTGTGTAGAAGTCATGCCGTGCACACACTGTAGTGCGTCAAAGCATGATGGCGTGTCGACTGCACTGCTTCGTGGTACATGCAGGCACACAGCCCGTACTAAGGCCAGTCATGAGTCCACAGTTTCATGAAATGTGCAAAATAAGTTAGCATTCCATGCGCTAAGATATACATGGCGCGATTATGAAGAGAGAAGGCGGAGAGCTGACCGATCCAATAATCTGGTTGAAGTTCTGCAACGCGTGTGAAAGTGATCTTGCATGCTTTGTGTACGCACAGCAGGAAACAGGGTGCATGCCACTACGAGTACCAGTATGGGTTATACCTGTTTCGGTAAACCCATTCGCAAACCAGTTCACCGCCGAGCTAAACGCGTAACCGTTTCACCCCGAGCCTATGATTCCTCGGACTGTGCCAGAGCCATCAGTACTGGATCTTCAGTGTCATTGTCAAACTCCTCATCCTCCCTACACACATACATACAAGTACATATACAAACACATACACGTCACAGTCAGCTACGTACTCTGAAAGGAGAGATGAAATGCTTGCAGTGCCCGCCTCTTTGGGGAAAAAAATATTCTCAAAAGGACCCCAAACCGCATTTTTCAGCTGCTCTTTCGTTTGAACGGGAACTTTCTACACCGGGCTTTCACGCATTTACGTCAAGACTAATCTATTTGGTACACCACTGTCCGATGACATGCAGAGATTTGGCATTGCTGTTGCTTTAGGGCCCTTTAATAGCTGCCTGCACAGATTTTTTTACACTTCCTCAAATTGATAGGTGAGCATTGATCGTCCAGCACCAGCTCGGAAGTTGCACACTTTCTGGATCTATTTCTGATTAGACGCGCTGCCGAGATCGGCGAGCCTACATTGCAACAAGGTGCATCTCGGCAGCATCCACTCCATCTCCTCAGCACCCCACCACTACGCACAACCTACGCCTCTAGGACACCAGCAATACAGCCATGGTCATCTAGCAGAGAAATAGGGGCCAAGAGGAACTTACTTTGGTACATCGTCCTCACCAGTCACCATTGCCAGATACTCAACACTGGCGAACTTCACCCAGTCAGACGGTTGTTCTTGATTCGAGCCAATGTCCTATGGGGGAAGAAAGCCAGCCCAGACAACAAAGTCAATCGGTGTCTACTATCTTCTAGTATACTAGTACTACCCGCAGCCAGTCTGCAGGAGTTGCAGTCATATTGTGTGTGTGTGTGTGTGTGTGTGTGTGTGTGTGTGTGTGTGTGTGTGTGTGTGTGTGTGTGTGTATGTGTACTTCAATCAGCTGTGTGGTGGATACCAGGCTAAAATTAGTGGCGGTCAATTCATCAGCCTTGCAAGCTGTTGAATGGTGTAAGTTGCTATGTCTAACATAGCTGTTCGCTATGATCGCTTCCGCGATGGGCAGGTCTGAGGTCTGAGGTGTGTATGTGTGTGTGTGTGTGTGTGTGTATGTGTGTATGTGTGTATGTGCACAGTAACAAGAAGATTTGCGCAGGCTACATGTAGGCTAACAAGCTTTCAGAGCGTTTGACGAAAACCGGACCGCCAGAACAGCCGATACATTTCCAGTGCACTTCTTGCGCGGATGAGTCGGACCATATCTCAAGCAACATGCACGTGTAAACTGCCCGTGGACCGTGACAATCACCTTTGTAAACGGATCCCGATGCTCATGAGCAACAAACTTGGTGTAATTGAACAGGGTGTTGAAGAAAATCTTGGCATGTATGCTACATGCCTTCAGATCACGCAAGGTGATATAGCCTGCATAAAAAGAACACGACAGTTCAACAGCAATGCTCAAGACACTTCCGATGGTGAATTTCAAGACTAGAGTCCGAGTCCATATCTACGACTATCGTCACAACAGCGGGGGTGGCAAGGAGGACCCGACCTCATGAACAAAGCAGAGCAGGGTCCACTCTGCACAGCCTAGTTGAAGGAACTTCTCACCTACGAGTATGGTCTTGGTTGCACCGTTTGACTTCTTTGCATCCAAGCAAAGATAAACCAGCAAACCTACACATCGCATTTTCTCTGATACATGTACCAGTGCAAGCACGAGCGTGTGGACGCAGGCGTGTATTTACCGCCATTTCGCCAAGCGTGTCTTTACTACTAAAGGATGCATGCCGAGAAACGCCGTTCATGAATATTTAATATTCATAAAAAATTGTGTTCACGTCTCATTTGATATTCCTGTAGTTTCATTCTGAAACTCCATCACCTTTCTCCCTTTTCTAACTCAGTCTCTCCTTTTTCTGACAGTGGTGCTTTGACCCCTAGCTGGGTGCAAGCACCCTCCGCCAGATGCACAAACTACATTTCTATTTCTCCATTCGACTCTCGAATTTATTTCTTCTTTGTGTTCACTTCTGTTCTGCAGTTTGCTCCCTTTCTTTCTAGCTCGCACTAGCTGCGCTCCGTGTAGCCGTCATCTTATTTCTACAACATCACAGTTCACCTGACCGCGCGATTGCTAAGCGCTACGCAGCTCAGGCCCAAACGGGTTTGTGTGCACTGTCGTGATGTATTTGGCTTCATTGTTTGCGTTGCACAGTATGCTGCCTTCTGTGCACATTGATTTTCGCAGCGTTCTCTTGGTGCGTCCTATACTTCCCTCTCTGGGTTTTTTTGGGTTGGGTTATCTTGGCTCTTCTTCTTCAGACTTGAAATTGAATTGACAAAGGTGGATGCATTATTGAGTGTAGTGTAAGCGTGTGCATGTTTGATAGCTAGGTAGTCCAGTATCAAAGTCAATACGGCTTTGACAATGCAACCACCAGCACAAACCCTCTTTGTTCTTTCTTTCTTTATCAATGCACACAGCACTCATTTTCAAAGACACCGTTGTAACTCTAATGCATTGCATGAACCAGCTCCCCCACCCCCCCCCCCCCCCCTCCCCCCTCCAAATCGTCAGCACTGACCAGATTGTGTGGGAACATGTTCGTACACTCAAGCAACGCACCTGGCTTTTGGGGCCGCATCATGTCCAGGAGCTGGCAAAGACAGTCGTTGAAGCCGAATGGCTCCATGCCCTCGCGCTGCATGTGATCCAGTTGCTCATTGTAGAAGTGTTCAATCTCATACATACTAATCACACCATCCCCATCTAGATCCAGGCAGCGGAACCAGTATTCAATGCTGCACACACACACACACACACACACACACACACACACACACACACACACACACACACACACACACACACACACACACACACACACACACATACGGAGACAAGTACCGACAGACAGGCAGACACGCACACACACACATGCGCACACCCACACACAAGCAACGACAGACACGCACACGCACACACACACACACACACACATGAAACAAGGTACACAGCAGCAGTTAATAGCAGTTATTATCGTTTGCACGGTGCAATACCATAACTCTGAGCAGCTGATTCATGCAGCAACATTGGCAACAGCACAGCATGGATATAGCCTATAGGTCAGTACCTTGTTGATGTGGTCTTGTCCTCTTCAGCCAGCATGAAACACACAAAGTCAGGATACTCCATGAGGCCTTCCTTGGAATAGCTGAGAGTCGCAAGCAGCCATACAGCGTGACATACCCCCCCCCCCCCCCACACACACACACACCGCACACACATCACCGCACATCACCGCACAGACATATACACCGCACACACATACAGATACACGGCAGAGATATTGGTCGCTGTAAAAATATAGTCAATGTTACACTCATGCCAGGGTCATCTCAGCATCACTTTCCTTAAAAGTCTTTGGTTCCATGCTAGTACTGTTGCATGATGGTCAGAGATGTACAAATCGATCATGGTGATCCTTTTGCTTTGCACACAAAGAGCAGTGTTGGTCGCCCAAAATCAAACATTCGGTTTTTGTGGTCTTCTGGGCACTGAGTCAAGCGGTGTTGGTCTGAAGAGACTACGATTCTCTGCTAACTGTGGACAATAGACAACACAAACGGTGATGTCAATGGAGGGGCCTCATACACCCGGCAAGCAGCACAGTGACAGCTCAATGGGTCAAACCTCTGGGACTCCCGCATTGACCAGGTACATTGTACGTACTTATGGCAGCCTTTGAGCGAAGATACATAGAGTGAAAGGTTGCATTCCTATGCCATTTCTGTCCAGTTTCTAGCGCTGCACGCCGGCATGAGCGCTGGTGTTATCACGCTGGTCGCTTCAACATCCTCAGGAGATGCCACAATCCCAGTGTAGAAAGGTTCAATATCATCATCTTAACGGATTCGCTACCCGCTATGCTGGTGAGGTGTAACTGGCGGGGTCGGCCAAGAGCGCACGGTGGAGTGGTGGAGTGTATGCGTACACAGAGATGTGTTTTTCTTCTTCGGAAACGCGCGACACCTCACATCGCATGAACTATGACGCGATACGCACACCTTGCCAGGGGTATAGGTTGCCTTGTTACAGGGCGGCACTTATTTTTAGTGTGCAGCACTGATTTCAAGAGAGGCAGTGCATCACAGAAAAGATGGAACATTGATTGGGCGGGGCAGTAAAATTCAACAGCAAAAAATCCAGCACGCCATCCAACCTGACAACACCGGGAAAGAGAGTGAAATTGACAGTTGCACAAGCATTGATCAACACCACTCACCGAAGCACTGCTTTACTAAGAACCCGTTTTAGAATAGCGCGTGTGAGCCCTGAAGGAAACAAAGCATAAACATATCCCAAGCATTACACTCCAAATCAACCGATCTTGGGCGGTGAGAAACCTTGGCCCTTGCCAACATAAAACAACTCACCGTCACAAAACCTTTGCCATTTGTGATTGTCGAGAAAGAGATCAATCGATAATTTTCATTCTCACACTCACACGCATAGCCCAGACTTACATTTTCTGAATCTGGGGATACATCCTGGCTCGCAGTTCACTTTGGCCTGTATAAACCGGTTTACTCGGTGAAACTTAATTAACCATGAAATGTGTTATTCCATTCTGGAAAAAGCGCTGACTCACTGTGAACAGACGTCGCTCCGATGTTCTAGTATTGCCGCTCAGCTCCTGCTACAATACTTTTCAGGTCTTTGTCATTGAGTGTGTGGACTACGCCTCGTGCTTCAGATACAATTTATTTGAGTGGCTGGAATAGCATTGGGAGTACACGTATGATGTTCCTCAATCTCGCAACAAAAGTTCACAGCTCCGTCACCACATTAAAATATTAACATATGGTCACCATAGTTATGCCTGATTCTAGAACACATGTGGAGCTAGTACATGTACTCTGTTCGTATAATATCCATTTCCCACGCTGTTACTCACGACAGGGCTGTGTGCGTGTGTGTGTGCTTGGACGGCTGTTGCTACTCTCACAGCTTACCGTATTCATCATATTCTGACAGGTCGTGGATGTCTAGAATGCGCCGGTGGTTGTTCATCTCCGAAAACTTGCAGTACATGACGTAAAAGTGCTCATACGAGAAGAACTCAAGCTCCTGCAGTGCAGAATGGCACAGTGCACAGCGCACAAGGCGATTCGAACCAAACGGACAAACAATCCGTTTCCACCGACCAGCAATGGCACTGCACCGACCAAGAGTTGTAAAGAGCTACTTACCAAGCACGAGAGTTATCCTTGAGACACGTACCCATTAGTAATCTACAAGTAAAGCAATTGTATGCCAGCTGCCCAGATTAAAGAGATTGTCCAATCCCAGAGCCAGGTGACAGAGAGAGAGGGGGCTTAGTCCTTATTTAGCATCCCTGCTCTTATTCGTTTGTTGGCTGCCCAAGGTAAAGAGGCTGTCCAATTCCAGAACCAGGTGACACAGAGAGTGCGCAGTCCTTAGTTAGCTCTTAGTTCTTACATCGTTGATGGAATTGATTGTTTCCAACTTTTCAATCACCTGCAATGTATAGGGAAAGAATAAAGAGGGCCGTTTGCAGAATAAATCAGCAAAGACCTAACACACAATACTTTTCTGAAGAAGACTTCAGTGATGACTATTTAAACTATGCACCAAAACACTGCCACAAGCAATACATAGGAAGTTAGAATCCATGCACGTCAAGTTCATGGTCCAGGTTGCGGAACAGTCACTTCGTTTAGAAAAGTTGCCCCGCTATCATACTTGATTAATTGATGAGTTTTATTTATTTTAAATTACAAAAGGCGTATGAACCTTTGAACTCAAACATCGCGCTTTTGACCTTTCGGATTCAGCGTAATGGATAGAGATCTCACCGACAAGAGTGTGCTTCGACGGAGCTCAGGTATTGATATTCGGCCTGACCAAGATCTATTCACTGTATAGAAAATTCTCGTTGCAACCTGTAAGTACACCGTTAAAAAAAGAACGATTGAATACACATAAAGAAATGATCGCACAAAAGTACTGCACCCATGTCAACCAATGTCAACTTGAAACAAAAACGATGTGACATTTATCTCTAGGATAACCCTCCATGTTGAACTTGCTACTTCAATATACAGTGGAGATTGGATTTAACAATACTCCTTCGGGAGAAAACAAATGTCGCTATATTCAATCTGTCACTAAACCCGATCTTCACTTTTAGTAGACAGATTGTATATCAAAATGACAGAAATGTATTGCAGATATGCATGGACATAATATTACGGATTTTAGATGCGCATGCGCATGTGTCATGCTGCATAGTTTAAGCCAAAAGTCATGCATAGCAACTAACCACACACTGTACTGTGGCTACCAGCATGCGTGGAGTGACCCAGAGCCTGGCAGAGGTCCGGGCATGTGACACAGACATGTTAACACACGCACATGTACAGTCTGTATCGGCTATAGAGTGACCGGATATAAGAATATATCGGCTACAGTGATATTGGTACGAAATATCAAAAGCAAAACGTATTTTGTCCAATACAAATATCACTATAACCAATATTATCGGATGTAATGATATATCGGATATTATGATGGCAACAAAGAATCAAAACATGCATAACACACTATATTATTATCGGCTATAATGATAACTTTAAAATACATGTAGCAATAATATCAAAGGCCCTATTTTTTTTACTTTCTTCACGTTGCTTATTTTTATAGTGATACATGTACATGTACATAACAGAATTTTTTTATGGAAATGCGGGCACTGTCAACTATGCAGCATGCTCATTTGTCAAAACGCCATGCTAGCTGGAAGTATTTCCTTGCCTTTCATGTGTCGATCGAAAAAAGAAAAAAATCGATCGTATCGCATATAGTGATGCATCGGTTATAGTGATAAAATCACGGAAATCAAAAGGGTACGCTATAGCCGATACAGACTGTACATGTACGTCCCATGCATGCCCATCCGCCTGATACAAGAGGAAAGTCGTTATATTCGATGCATTTTCAGGTCTTCAGGCACCAAAAAAGTGTCAGTAAATTCGATCTGTCGTTATTTTCGAGGTAGTTATACCCGATCTATAATGTACAGAAAGGACGTGCTAAGCGACATGGGCAACATACTGTTGTCGCGTCGTTACATCCAATCTCCACTGTAACAGAAAATCTACTCATTGACCGTGCACACAAACAATACTGTAGAAAGGCAGCTCCCACAAATTAATAACAGCGTCTCACCGTTGATATATAGGAGTTGATGAATTCCTTGCAGTCACGCAGAAAGAATAATCCCGGGTGGTCATCAACGACACACTACAGAGCGAATGTACGACCAAGCACAAAGCAGAAACACAAACATTTTTTAAATGTGACTCAGCAGAACACAGATTCCAAATTTTTGCCGAAATCTTGTCCGGAATACTCTAATTTCAGAAATTTTCTGTCCTCACTATTTTCGGTACGAGTGCAAAAGGCCAGGTTTGGTGAACAGAAAATGTAGGTACAGAGAAGCAGTTCCCTATTGCATTAGGTGTGTTAGTGTTTGTTGAAACTTTGTTCGGTATATTGAAATTCTAGGTATGAAACAGATGCAACGAAAGCACCGAAAATAAAAGTACACCGACAATTTGTGAAATAACAGTAGGTGGAGATCTGCAGAGCTGCACTTTGCAAGGCACTACTGTAGGCAAGAGTAAAACATCGGCATCAGTTTCTGCCAGTGAGGGGGTTGAAGTGCTGCTGTTCACTTCATCAGTGAGTTTATAAAAATATATATACTTTGATGACGTGTCTAAAAACTCTCTATAAAAATATCAACACAGGCCAGCATACATGCGTTAGTAGGCGCAGGATATGAAGTGAACTTACAAATTTTTATTTTGGAAAATATCGATATTTATAGACTTTCTCCTCATCTCCCCTAATAAACGCACATTTGTTTTTTTTGGAAACGCTACGAGTTCATAAAATAACCACCTTACCTGAATAAGCGGAAGCAAATCCTGGAAGACTAAGGAATCACTTTGTAATCTCGATGAGAGCCGAACGAATCGAGATGCTGGATCATGGTACTGCTTGATCAATCTGCAAGATGAACACAAACAGAACAAGCAACGTCACGTCATGATCGGAGCAGGTGAAAAACTTTGAACATGACAGCTTTCCCGTCGTCACTACTGCTGCTGCTGCTGCCACATGGCACATCTGAACCATGGCGGTAAAACATACGAAGTGGAAACAAGTCGCATGCTGTGTCGCCTACGCCAGACTAGGGACATAAGCACTCTACCACAGCGAAGACACACCACCAAGTCATGCACAGGTTATTTCTGAGCCTCACCGTTTCCAGATCTGCGAGAAGCCAGAGAACTTCACTCTCGTTTTACTAGTGCCGCCGGCTGCCCGGAAGAGGATACCTTTCCAATAAACTGGTAAATTGCACACCTGCACAAGAACAGTCAGAGACACAGCTTGAGAAGTACATACCGGCACTTGACTACGAAAAGTGAACAATCTTGGACTTTCTGAAGCATACCGGTGTGCGCTACGATGTACTACCAGAAGGACACAGGGAAGCCCAAAGTGCCCGGTACAGTCAGACCTCGCATAACCGCACACATCCGTTTTCCACAAAAGTATCCGGATAGGCGAGAGAACCGGATAATCTAACACACATACTGTGTGTATGCATGGCAAATGCTGTAAGTCCAGATCATCTGGTAAAAGGAGAGCGATCGCTCTCGCGCGCCTTCGCTCTCCTTATTTTCTTTTAGGGCGCACTTTTCGTCGCGCGCCTTGAGAATTTCGAGCGCATCCGCATCACTATGAAGTTCTGAAAACACTTAAATATTTCGTAACTCAGCTTTCCCTGAACGGAATCGAGTAATCGAAAGGTCTATTCGCATTAGAAAGTTCTCAGCTGTCGGCTCCAACAAATCGGAAGTCGATCCGAGGTCCAATAGTGGAGTTACGGCACTCGCAAGGTATTTTACGTACCGCTGCAAAATTTTACTTCCGCACTTGGGTGGCAATCATAGTATCTTGACATAAAGAATTTCCCTCTGTTGCGTGACAGTCCGGGCATGCACAGACCTGTGTGACGCCAGGCACAGGTCTTTAGCGGTCAGCTACAGAAGAAAGGAGCGCTCTACGATGAATACTACAAAAATACCATGGATCTTAGCGAATGGTCTCAATTTCCCATTGCGTGTGTCATTGTCTCTGAAGAAGGGAAACTAAAGTAACATTAGTTGTGGTCCGAACAGCTTTCATTTGTAGTGCGTACGGCGATTTTCCAGAACGAATTTGGCAGCTACATGTATTGGGTATTGAATCCGTTTGGGGTATGGCAAGATGTTGAAAAAACCCGTATTGTCACAATTTGTGCTCGCCTTCGATAGATAAGGCGAGCGACTTTTCTTTGGGGGGGGGGGGGGGGGGGGGAGGGTGGCGGGGACTGCTCTCCCACCACTCTCCTTGAGAGGATAGCGAGAGTGATTGTTCACTCTCCTGGGTTTTTCTTACGCGAAGGTCTGAAGTCGGCAACCAACAATTTTCTTCCGGATGGCGAGGGATCCGGATAAAAGAGGACCGGATAAGCGAGGTCTGACTGTATCCTGCTGCTCTTTGTGGATGTCCAGCTTTTAAGTAAAGTGTGAGTTGCACGGGCCAAAAAAAACGTGCCGCCGGTACAATGACGCCTTTTCTCACTCACCAATATGCTGCACCAATAAGAACACACAAAACCGAACTGGACGAATGCATCATTATGCTTGCATGCAGGACTAAGGAAACTTAGGGATGTGTCCTGACCATGAACAGCCTACTGTAATGCTAGGGAAATTGTACGCACATGCAATCTGCCAACCCGGGTCGTGTACTCGTGTTGGGTACTTACCGAGCAGACTCGGTCAAACTCGTGTTTGGCCAGACCCATGCCACTCCCGTCATCCGACAACTCAAACACGGCGCGGATCTCTGAAAGACTGGCACTGGTGCATGTGTCATTATCTGTTGGCCGCCCGTACGGGAAGTAAAATCGCGGTATACTCGATGAGGATGATGGTGATGACGATGATGCTGAGGATGATGATGATGATGAAGGCGTCGACAGCATTCTGTGTGTGGTGGACGTTGACTCTGCGGGTGTGGATGCTAATATGCTCGGCAGCCCAACTTTGTTTTGGAGATGTGGCGCATGTGCAGTTGAAATACTGGTGTCTGCACTCTTGCTACGTGTACCACTGGCATCATCACTCTCTGCAGTGATTTCTATGCTAGGTGCAGTTACTGCAGTAGCCAGTCGTGCCGCCCTGCGCACCCGGGGACTGGACTTAGGCGAAGCGGCCGGAGAGGAGGGTGACGGGGCCCGTGGTGGTGGCGAACTCTTCCTGCTTGCACCCATGGCGTCACGCCCGGTTGAGGCTTCACCAGCCGTTCCAGTCCCGGTCGTCGTGCTCAGCTTCGGAAGCGGCTGCTCTGACTTGATAGCAGCCAGGCTCTCCTGGAGTTTCTCTATGTTGGACTCCTCACTCATGAATCGCAGGAATAACTCGTCAACTTTCATCTCCAGACATGCAGACAATCTATGTGGCGGAGTACTCATTTTTGGAAAGAAATACAGAACGAGACAACTACTGTACTGTCTTGTTTCCTCTTGATTGGGCTATTTATTACTTTTGTCATTTGCAGCCCGCGTCTTTCTTCTGCTTCTGAGTAACGGGTTAGTTCTACGCTCTAGCTCTCCTACAAAATAGTACTAGTAATCGTAGATCCTCCCAGCTTCTTGTGAGGCATATCAAGAACAAAATCTCGGAATGTTTCAAAAATCAGCTGTGCCAGATTTTATCCTTTTCATCATGATCAAAACTGCATGCAGTAGTGTAGTACATGTGTACAGTAGGAATCATAGCCATAGGGACGTCGACGCTACACCGCGTACCGACGCAGCAGAGTGTCTCCATAACAACTATACTCCAAATGTGTGAATCGCCCAAGGCGTAGGATCCGATATCGATCCTGGAAAAATAAAAAATAAGCAAATGCAAAACCGTCTTCGTATATACAGTCATCAGCACTTTTAGTTTTATTTCGACTTTTTCAATTTTGTTTCTTGAACGTTTTCAGCAGAGTACGAGTGGTGTGTAGGCTGGCTCTGTAGACGCTGACCATTGGCATTGTTGTTGAGAACATTCCAAGTCGTCTATTACCCACCAGGAGCAATCGTACACGTACTTCTAAATGCAGGCCCACAGTTGATGGCGTATTAATATTTGGAGTGCAGAAGTATTTGCTGCTGATGGCAATAGTGAATCATGGAGGGTGAATCGATTACTAGTATTGAGTACAAGAACCGGTGGGTTCCTGAGCTCTTTGTGTCCTCCGGAACATACTGCATCACCTTATTGATGTACCCTTTGCTGAGGAGTTTATCGCCATTTGACACAACCCTGGGAAATGCTGCCCTGCTTGTATCTCTGCTGTTCGTCATACCCGGTGCTATTCTGGTTTTGTGGAGGAATTGGGAAATGTGGTATGTTAGCTTTCTAGCAGGATTCCTTGGCTGCTGCACTTCTATTGGCATACAAGTAGCAACAGTGGGTTATGACACACGACTATTCTACCTCGGCTGCTACATCATAGCCCTGTCCTTCTTTCATCAGTCCGAGTATGTCACAACCGCTTTGTTTAACCCTCACCGCCTGTCGCTCGACTCGTATATTCTCAACCACAGCAGGGAGTATCACATTGCTGCAGTTGTCAGCTGGACTGAATACAGTTTGGAGTCTTGGCTTGCTCCGTCACTCAAGACCTACCACTGGCTGGCTCTGCTTGGCTTAGTTCTGGTTGCGAGTGGGGAATTCCTTCGAAAAGCAGCCATGTTCACAGCACGCTCTAACTTCTCCCATATTGTTGCATTTCGCAAGCGCTCTGACCATGAGCTTGTGACGCACGGTGTGTACTCCTTGTCGCGTCATCCGGCATACATGGGCTGGTTCTACTGGAGCATTGGAACACAAGTTCTCTTGTGCAATCCCGTGTGTACCGTGGCCTATGCTGCCGCATCTTGGTCGTTCTTCAATGAGCGCATCGAGGAGGAAGAAATCGCCCTGCTGAATTTCTTCGGCAGGCACTACGTGGAGTACCAACAACGTGTTGGAACTGGCCTCCCGTTTATTTCTGGCCACTTGCCACGGAGAGAGTAATCGGAGTGGATGGCAAGGTCAGCAACGTAATTTTTCTCTCACTGCACTACAGGTGTGGTGTATTGAAGTTGCTTTTATTCTGTCTCTTGCACTCCGTTCTATTCTCTCCTTAGGTGTAAAAACTCGCGGGGAAAGGTATTGGCCCTCTCTGTGTTTCTGTAGAGATCTCGTTCTTTATAGTTTAGATGCATGGGCTGAGGGCACCCTCAGTAGCACACATGTGCATGCCTGCTTTTCAGGCTGCTACTTGAAAGTTTCTAGTATGTAGTCCTTGCTCACCTGGTGTGATTGTGGCAAGGGTATCACCCTTGGACATGTTTTGGAATTAACGTCTACATATTCTGTACAAAGGTCTTGCTCTATTGTACCTAAGGATTGTATTTATAGTGTCTTCTTCCTTTTAGTCGCATGGGGGTACATTGTTCGTCTTGAGATTTCTGGGCTAACTTCCAATGAAAGACCTTTGAAGTGTTATTTATATGCTTATTGCTTCAACACTCAATGATCAAAGTATATATTGCAGCATGATGTTGCCTTTCCTCTTTCTCCCTTTTTCACAGCGCATTAGCGCATTATCAGAGGTGTACTCCACACCACACCGGTCCGGTACTGGTATCACCAAACGGATATGCTCATACTAGTAGAAATACTTTGAGGGACAATGTACATGCATAATGGTGTACTTTTGAAAGTGGAAGCACATTTTTAAACTACTACTATGCCGATCAGGTTTTTCTCCTGGATCCATTGTTGTGCACGCTGTGCATATGGCACATGTTTTGTCAGTTTTGTGTTAGCCTACTCGAACATTGCTGTTTGCACTTGACTATGTGTTGGACTCTATGCCGACCGCATGAGATTTTGAGAAGCGTGTACAAAATACTAGTTCAGCGCTCTGGTCAAAGGATGGTAGGATAGCACACTGCCCTCCTTGTGAAAGGGGTCCTCCTCCTGTGGGAACTGTGCTACGGTCATTTCAGATTTTTTTGGCGGGTAGTCGGCAAAAATTAAGTGACGGTCCCTTTAGTCCTTCGCGAAATGAACACCGGTAACCATGGAGACAGACCACACTCTCATTATAGATACTGGTTATAAATAGACCGAATAAGGAAAATGATCTGATAGATAGCCTATGGAGAGTAAAAGAAATTGAACCAATGACAACAAATACTCGTCCAGCACACGAGTTGTCATAGCAACACAAATAAGTTGTCCGCTGATTTTGTTGTTGGAGATTGAGTAGGAGTTTTTACTGGTTGATTCTAAATACAATAAATGAGGAGGCCGAGGGTTTATGACCAATAAAAACTAGTTATGGACTCTTGGAAAAACGAATAAAAGATACAAAACATCTGGCCGACCCACACTAGCACTGCACTGAAAGTGATATTGATAACGTTAGATTGCACAATGATTATGTAATGGTAACCCAGGCGCGTAGCACCGCCATTGGAGGTGGTCCGGTTGGAGGGGGTCTGGGGGTGTCCCCGGGAAATTTTTTAAAATTGGGGTGCAAAATCCTGCATTCTGGGCACTTCTGGGCGAAAAAGTGGTCCGGCCAAAGCCTGACTGCACTGGCGCCATGGCCGGACCGGCTGCTACGCCCCTGTTTTAAACCGCAAATTATGTTTTGAAAATGAGAATAAAAGTCCTGCAGAAGAGAGTTGAGTCAGGAAGGAGTGGAGTCTGTAGTCTGTAGAGTGGTTACTTTTCAAGTAGTTTTGGTTGTACAATCATGTGCAGTACTTGTTGTTGTACAACCAAGACTGCCAAGAGTGCCACATGCACAAGTCATGCAGCCTTCCATGATGGTGCTTGCTTGGAAAGGCAAGACTCCCAGTCGACTAGTCCCAGACTACTACTAGTATACTAGTACTACAATGTCATGTAATTGTTAGTAAAAATAGTATTATACAGCTGTCAACATCGAAAAACATGACTGTAGTAAAAAATAGTATCCCATGCCATGCCTAGCGCGCTAGCGCCTATGCTCGAGTGAAGAGCTATTGAAATGGCGTAACCATGCACCATGCTGGCAAGCCTGCCATGCATATGTGTACTACGAATCATACGAGGCTACGTCATGACGGGATTTGTACAACTAACTCCACGCGTGCACTGCACGATTCGTTGTGCTGCCATTTGCGTCTTCAAAAGAGTAGATCTTGTAAAAATCGTAGGCGTAGACATCTACGTGACTACTCTTTGTATCTGTGATTGTCATACTTGACTGATGACTATCGACTTCGCTTTCATTTTGAGTTGTGACTTCAGGATCACTTTCCTATGGTGGTAGCAAGGATCCGCTTGAAAGTTCTTTCGTGAGGCCGTGTTGGTGTTGGGTTTGGCCTCATTTGGATTTTCACCCTTTGCCGTTGCATGCGAAGGCACAAGGTCAAGGTGATTCGATTTTGCAATACAGAGGTTCCCCTCGTTGCACACGTTTCGAACGGAGATGAGCAACCACGTTGGGAGAGGTCGAGGTAGAGGTGCCAACAGGTAAGCTGCGGGCAGTGTGGGTGGATATGCCTGTCTGGTTATTCGTATTGCACTGGCTATTTCCCTGTGCGGCTGCGAAGCATTCTTTGTAGGTGTCAACAATTCAAAATTTATATGAAATTGCCCATACCTGTCCTGTGCACTAACCGTTTTGCAGGTAGCCCACCTAGGTTATGGGGAATAATGTGGAGGGGGTGAGAAGAATATGTAGATAATGCTTGCGTGCGGAGCGCAAATCATACTTCATACTTCCCGACACACTATAGTTTGGTAATTTCGAAGGTCCTGTAGAAGAATCCTTTCGAAATTCACGTCCATAACTTCAAGCATGTATAGGCTACAACGAAACCATTTGAAACTCCTATCCCTGGGGCCATTGGATTGATTACTGTAACAAAATTAATAAAGTGCGCACACTTATTTTTGGCCTGAGTCTTTGAGCCCTAAAATTTGTTACTGCTGAAATATTTGTTTGCAAAGTACTAGTAGAGCGTGTGTGGGCAGGCGTGCGTTTATCGCCATATTGCCAGGTGTGTGTTTACCACCGTATAATATGGGGAATAATGTGGAGGGGGTGAGAAGAATATGTAGATAATGCTTGCGTGCGGAGCGCAAATCATACTTCATACTTCCCGACACACTATAGTTTGGTAATTTCGAAGGTCCTGTAGAAGAATCCTTTCGAAATTCACGTCCATAACTTCAAGCATGTATAGGCTACAACGAAACCATTTGAAACTCCTATCCCTGGGGCCATTGGATTGATTACTGTAACAAAATTAATAAAGTGCGCACACTTATTTTTGGCCTGAGTCTTTGAGCCCTAAAATTTGTTACTGCTGAAATATTTGTTTGCAAAGTACTAGTAGAGCGTGTGTGGGCAGGCGTGCGTTTATCGCCATATTGCCAGGTGTGTGTTTACCACCGTATAAATCAACCATAGGGACAGCACAGACTGAAATTATTCTTATGCGGCCGAAAAGGAGTTTAGCCATTGGACGCTGAAATTTAAACACTCTGTTAAAATTATAGACCTACGGTATTGAAGTTATTGACTTGCACCAGGCGGACGAATGCTTGAATGCAAAGTGCCTGTTTACATTATGGTCGTTTGAACTGTTTGGAATTCTGCTGAATTTTAGGCATGGACATCAAGCTGTGGATCCATCATCGGCAGCTGGTGTCCGTGGTACTGCGGTTGCGGCTCCAACGTCAACCCGGCAGGTCCTGGAAGCTGCTGCTGTGCATGTGAAGGAGTTCGTTCCTCGTACTAGTGGGTCTGCCCGTGAGTTGGCTTCGTGAGATCTATGTTGCCTCCCCGGTACACTAAATTTTGGAAAAGACTTTGTATAGGTTCATGTTGTCAATAGCTGGGGAGCGCACACTTGTATAACTGCTGGCTTTCTCAAGCACAAGCACACTCCACTGTCCTCGCACAGCTACAAGAGCAGACGATAGACCGTCCGTAGTCATTCAACACCGTTTAGGCGATGAAAAGATCCCGTTTGAGGTGGATAGTGGGGCAGTAAAGGGAACATGGTCATGACATTTTCCGAAGTTTCAGATTAGTGAAAATGAAAGCCCACACATCCACATGACATTTATGGTTAGAAGCTCGGCCAGCTAAGGAAGGCTCGCCTAGCGCCTGTGTCATGCCTGATTTGTACTGTGCCATGGCGTGGCAGGTGTGGTGCCTCACAGCCAGGGTGAGTGGATATCTCATGGACATGTCCAACCAGGGTCTAAACCTCATCAGCCGCTTCTCTGCTCTCCTCCCTTTAAGTGTGTAGTTGCACCCCGTTGAGTTGATGAAATCACTGCCGAAATGTAGCGACCACTGTATCATGGAGGGACTGATGTCTGGTGTGCTTTCCTTTTGTTGACTGCTCTCGTTCTAGCCCCTCTACCAGCCACTGCTGTCAATGCTCAGGTATTCCGCCCTCGGCATGCTGGCCCGCCTCCAGCTGCAGCTGCGCCACCACCTGTCGCTATGGGTAATTCAGCGGCGTCTACAGCGTGGTCAGTAGGCTCGGCACAGCCTGATTCGTATGCTACCCATACTGGTTAGTGCAGTATTCTTTCTCTTCGAACCAAAGTTTAAACACATTGATGCCAAGGCAAGGTGACTTTGGTGTGATTGCCGACTGCATTGTCATGTAGCGATACTACTTTGATGTACTTCTTGCTCAGTTGCCAAGTCCTCTTGTTCTTTTCAGGTGATTGTGTCCGCAACTTAGATTGGACAGTTTGGTCTCGCACCATCGTTGTGTCATTGACCATGAACCAGCGGGCCCAGCTTTGCTGTCCCATGCTCATACCACTCTACCAACAAGCCAAAACCTCGTCTGACATTTTTTCTTTCTTGCTTCACTCTCTTTTGTTGGTGTAGCAAACCATCAAGGCCATGGATCCACGTCGAGCTATTCTAATTCAGGTGACACCGAGGTGCGTTTCGTGATACACATGTTTGATTGTGCTGAGATTTTTTCGATGGCGTGTAGTAGCAAGAGTACATAAACCAGAGTGTGCAACTGTGCATATCAGATCTGAAACAGCGCAGTTCGTGCACTACGTCACCTTGATGAGGTCAGCCAAGCCGCGACTTGCGTACAGCTCAAATTTTCGTGTTTCATAGCCCGGAGATCAGCCAAGTTTGCTTGATTTTAGACATCATGTTTCAGGATATCGGTGTTTTTATGGGACTGTGTCATTGACCATGACATGACCATGTACATCCACCGACAAGTATATTCACCAGGCTATCTGTATCAAAAAACCGAAATCAGGACAAACTCAGTGACCTGCACCACCGTGACTGGCTACGCAACTTTTCACCGTACCTGTGGCTTCCCATGCCGTCAGAAATGACGTACTGCACGAATTACGCTCCCACAGGAACCATCCCGAGTTGCACACTCTGGTTTATGTACTCTTGGTAGTAGGGATCTGGGATGTGTGCGTGGATATTTCAGCATTTTCCCGTCTGTTTTTTTGTTTTATTCATGTACATGTATCCTTTTGGCAAGGGTGTGCAACTCCGATATTGAGCTCACCCACGGCAGACTTTTTTTAGTTCTTCATTTTTTGGCAGAAGTACAGTTGTTTCGTGAAAAATCCAACCTGTGAGCGGAAAGCAGCACCAAGGCTCCTGAGGCCCTCGGATGGGTTTTTGGATGTAATTAAAATGGAAACGCGGCGGCGCATCTTTTGATTAGCGGGTCGGATTTCTGTGGCCACTACTGTATGTTGGAGTGCGTATGCCTTTCCACACCTGTCATGTGAATACGTTGCCAGTTCGTCAGATTCAGGACGCATGGGTCTACCGACCGCTGTTCTGCTTCATACAAACTCAGGGTTTTTTTTTGACCGCTGGCTATTGTGAGTTGTGCATTATTGGTAATAGAGAGGTTCTGCTCTCACGTGAAACGTAGAGGAATCACGTCGAGAACAGGTGTCTGGGTTAGAGTCTGTTTTGGGTCCAGATTTCTACACAGAGATGAGGTTCTCTACGTTGCACACACAAAGAAAATGCGTGCGCATCTGTTGCGTACCATTCAAATTAGTGAGAAAACTGCCAAAAGAACAGAAAATTCCCAATACGAGGTGATTCGCAATTTTTGGACAAATTAGTTAAATACGGAAGTAGAGTCCTCCTGAGTCGTTGTCCTTTCCTTGGTGGACAAATCTTTGACAAGAGTGTCTTCGTGTGCATACTGACCAACCACCACAATCTCAATCCCTTGACAAGACATGCAGAATCCCTGGATTTCTCTCAAAATCCCTGGATGGCACAAAAACAAGTGAAAAAGAGCTTTTCCCGCCAAAAAAACGTTCGCCTCTGCAGCTGTGCGTACAGCACAGATCGACCCTGTACTAGGCTGTAGTGCAGTTTGATCAGTCGGCGCCCGCCTGTCACTTTGTCAGTGCAGATCTTGCATGGTCAGGTCTTCAAAGTGCTGTGCACAGTTCGAAGTGCGAATGAGCACCGTACATACCTTTGAAAAAAGTTCAAAAAACCGGGAAATTCGGGGAGAAACCATGGAGTTTTCAGGAAAATCCTGTATCAGACAAAACTTTGGTTTTTCCGGGAGTTTGCTTGAAATCCCCGGGACCCCGGGAGGAGTGTTGATTTTCCGGGATTTTCCCGGGAAAAACGGGAGGGTTGGCCAGTATGCGTGTGGTCCTCAAGTTTCTTCGTGCCAATTTTTAGCGGTGAAGGCCGTTTCTTTCTGGGCGTTTTCTTTATTATTCTTAGGTAATGTAATGAGTAATTTTGAAAATTTCGATTAAATAATAAATAATTGAGGGTTCCGTTGACTCTACGTCGCATAACGGAGAGAATGTCGACATGGGGGATGTTGTATCCCTTCCATCAACTCCAGGGACTACGCCTTCCAGCTCGAATCCACCTGGAAGAGTCTCCTCGCCTTCTCAACCGGTGCGTTTGTGGAGGGGTTCTGGTTAGGAGAAATCTCTTTTAGCAGTGCGAGCGTTCCACTCACCTGGCACCAGTGAACACTTCCTAACCAAGAAGGATGCAGCGGCTAGTTACGGCGCTAGCCCTCCACTCTTTGCGAAATATGAGGAGATGGGCCACACTGGAGTGCTCTCCTCTGTTCTTGAATATGACGTCCATGAAAACCCTTGAGTGACCCTTTAAATTGTGTGTCACATTGAAAAGCCTTGAAAAGCTTGCTATGAACGGCCTGTCATTAGAACTCATATCAGCCGGTCTCATGGGCATAGCCTCACCCCATTTTCATGTCCTGTGCAAGTTTTACTTGTTCACACCATTGCAGACTGCTGCTAGATGCTATTTAATTTAGTTGTCCAATAATTGCTCGCATTGAAAAAGCAGTAGAAAAAGACACCTTCGATCAGGTCAAGTTGTGGCCGCATGCTTCAACTCTATGCCTTCAGGTGTGTGTGGTGGTGGTAAAGCATACGTGTGCCAGTAGAAAAGCAAGAAAGAAATTTAATTTATCTTACAAACCAACATAATGGGGTGCTATTTAATTTGAGTGTCCAAAAATAGCAAATGACCTCGTACACGTTCCATGCGATTTCTTCGCGTGAGCGTGGAGCAGAACAGGTTTTTCAAGCGTTACGGGAATGCGAAGAATGGTCAAGTGATTCATCGTGTTTCCGTAGCGTAGAGCAGAACACCGCTAATGTAATATTGTACTCTTGCTACCACTGTAGAAGTGCAACTCTTCGTCTAATGCTTTCGTTAAAGTTTCGACATTTTATCAGGAACTTTTGTTGGTTAATTTCACAACACACTACGTAGTATTCCTGTTCCGCTTTTAGTTAGGAAACACTTTCTTTTGCACCCCTCGCCCAACAAAAGTAACGGAAATTAATTTCACGCGAAAGTGTGTCTTGTAAATTACTACGTGTGGCCAGTATTACAATGCACGACGTTTTGGAACTTTTGGCCATTCGCTACAAGTGATGAGAGTCTTGTGCACACGCTTTGCCTGGTTTTGTGCTTTGCCGCAGGCTTACGACCTAGGCACAACACCCCAAGAGACAGATGCGTTGCTACAAGTTGAGCAGGTAGGTGTTAGTGTCTGAGATCTGTCTGTACACTCACTAGCCCATGGCTGGGTACATTTTTTTTGCCCTGTGGATTATGATAAAGTAAAGTAGACAGGAGTCCCGAATCCACTGTGTAGCTAATGTTCACTGGACCGGAGTCGGAACTAGGAGTTTTAATGTATAATGCGTACAGTGCTGAATGCTTCTGGGCATATGTGTTACATTGGACTGATGGGATTGACAAGCTGCCGACTCTCCTTCATGCATGCTGCCGGGAGCTACAGTAGTATCATACTAGTATGCTGTTGTTACGCCTTGTCAGTGCCAGCCCTGTTTCACATCTCTGTCCAACTCGGTGTATCTCTTGCACAGCTTATCAATCGCCTGCTCACGGACCCTTGGTCACTGGAATGCGAGCTGGATCAGATTGTCTTGTTGCTCAACCGCTCCATTGTATCGGAACAAGCGCTGTACACCCTCTGCCATCATATCATTCAAACGGTATGAGCAGCAGATCTGCACAGGATGCCTATGACCTCGCTATCCTGGTTTCTTATGTACTTGTTAATTATCATACTTGCTGCGTTTTGTAGTGGCTGCTGCACTTGTCTTGATGCAATTATTATAAATGTGTTTTCCCGCGTTTGCACCGTGATGGTTTGTGGCTATCTTGTAAAAACTGTTAAAAAACCTAGTCATTATATCTGGGATTTCATGCCTGAGGGCTGACACAATTGATTGTCTTCTGTTTGGGGTATACATCCTCACAGGGCTGGCTCTTTCCTGCATTTTCGTATGTCGGCGGCCGTCTTGTTCATCTACTGGATACAAATCTGTCCAAGAATGGCGTCCTCGGAAAGTTTCGCAGCATTTTTCTTCAACTGTAAGCAGACTCTGTTTATGTGTTGTGCTGCACTGTGAACTGCAAGTAAAGATTGCTGGTGAGCATCCGCCTGTTTAGAAATCGCATGTACATCATGTACAGGATATGCAAGTTTTGTACATTCGGATGTGGCTGCTTCCCGGCAAGTTTTGCAGTGATAACTCGGTGTGCGTGTGTGCCTCTGGCTTTCTGTCCTTCTCTATCTATCGATCGGTCTCTCTCTTTTATCTCTATGTGTGTATGCATGTATCTGTCTCTATCTGTCTCTATCTCTCTCTCTCTCTCTCTCTCTCTCTCTCTCTCTCTCTCTCTCTCTCTCTCTCTCTCTCTCTCTCTCTGTGTCTCTGTGTGTGTGTGTCTCTCTCTCTCTCTCTCTGTCTCTCTCTCCCTCTCCCTCCCTGTCTCTCTGTCTACCTTATTGGTGTGCACTGGTAAGATCAACAGTCTAACTGGGCAACATATTTTGTTAGACAAGAGCCACTATTGATTTTCCTGTGTCTACGTACCTGTTTCTGTGCAGACTGAACAGTTCCTTTCATGACCTGGGGGCTGCTTCAGGAGAACCAATGCGCCGCCAGGAGTGGCTGAATTTCTCGATCTTTTTCGCTGAGATCTATCGCAACCTCATTATTATCCAACCTTCGGTGGGTTTTGTAGCTTCATGATCCTTGTTGCATGATCAGCTTCGAATTCACTTTCTATCTGTTTGTTGCACCTTTCTTTTTGTGCATTGTGGCTGTATGATTGTAGTGTTGGTGCGATAGCTCTGTAATGGTGATGACTGTCCACGTCAAGCACCGGTAGCTTTCTACATGTTTCTCTGCATGTCTGCATTTCTGTGCGAGGCGCCTACCTCTCCGCCGGGGTGTGGTGACTGACAAGAAACAATGAATTAAATTATTTAGTAGTCATGGCGTAAGCCACGTTCAAAGCTGGTGTGTTGCTTTAATTTGCTCCAAAGGCCTGAATAGTTCCGAAACTTTTTGCTTGTGTGTTTGAACTCAATAGAGCAATGTTCCGTCTCCCATCAAAGCTCTCAGCATGCCTTTGCTTGAGATTGTGCGCTCGTTAATGCTGCAGCCAGGTGATGACACGATGCAATGTGCATGTAACATACTCAAGGTAAGCAACTCCTCCCCCCCCCCCCCCCCCTCTCTACAGAAGATGTTGCAGATCGGAGGGGTCCATTGGACACTGCCATCCTTGTGGGTTGTGTCCGTCACTACGCCGATGAGCTCCTGTTGGTTTGTTGATGCCCAGCTGTACTTAGAATGAGCACTTGCCAATACACTGTTGTGTGTTACCCTAGATATCGTGCACTACGTTTCTAGGTTCCCTCTTTCCCACATTTGTCTCTGAAGGCAAGAGTACATAAACAAGAGTGTACAACTCCGCATGGTTTGGCCCACAACAAGTTTTTTGTTGACGTCAACCTTTCTGGAGATTGAAATCTTTATTCTCACGAGCATTTTTTTCGGACATTCTTGTACGACATGCGTCCTTGAGGTCTGAAAAAAGGTGACGTCAACAACAAAATTCTGCCCTGGACCAGACTAGCTGCGGAGCTGCACACTCTTGTTTATGTATTCTTGTTGAAGGTCATCTGGTCCTTTTTAAATACTTTTCTACTAATACCTGTGTGTGTGTGTGTGTACGTGTGTGTGTGTGGTGTGCGTGCGTGTGTGTGTGTGTGCGCGCGCACGCTTGTGTGTGTATATATTTGTGTTGGTGTGTTGGTGGTAACTAGTTGACAGGGTCGTACTTGACTCAGGATGCAGCAGACATTCTCAGGCAGTGCACGGAAGGCTTGAAAGTACTGCCCAAACATGAACTGTCCCTGTAAGTAGTCGCTGCAAGAATGCAGAACCCCCAAAAGTTTGCACACAGGTTTATGGGATCTGCGACGGCAGAGCTTCACATCACGTGATAAACCCTGTCCACATAATTTCTGGTCACTTTGCACTGTTCGCCAGGGCAACCAATTGAACCATGTCACGTGATGTGAAGCTCTGCCGTCGCAACACTGGATAATGATTAGTGGTTGTACAGGCAATTGCACCCTCTCAGTGGTTCTTGATGTTACATACACTTGTGGATTCCATCACATCAGCATTCGATGTGTATTGTTGTTCAATGAATGTCTACAGTAGGCTATGATAGCGTAGAGTGTAATCGATGCTTGCCGTCTGTTGTGTTCCAGTTGCTAGTATTTTGTGCATGCCCTGTTTTCCGGTGTATAATCCGCACTTTAAGCACCAGTAGTTTACCCAAAAAAAGTCGGTTCGGCTTATGCTACGATGGTCAAATTACCGGTGATAAACCGGGTAGATGTCTGTATTTTGTGACAACATCTGTGTGCGGCTTATACTCCAGAAAATACGGTGTTTCCATCCAAACCAAGTAAAGCCATATGGATTGCACTGTACTTACCTGGCTGCTGTGCGTATTCTCTTGCACGTGTCTTGACCTTCTGCTTACCTATCTAGGGGCACGCGCCGTTTAATCGAGTCAGTACTGCGTCTCGAGTCTCAGAACTGGGGCTCCTCGCCGGGCGTTGTTCCGCATTCACCCGTCTTCATCCCAACCACCGACCCGCTCGCGTTTGCCCCATCGGAGCCTGTGACAGCACCAGCGCACAGTGTGGCAGCGGCGGCAACGAGTAATTCACATTCGACGTATCCCACATACTCACAGGTACGGTTGCCACCTTGGAGCATCTTGGAGTGTAAACCATTCAAGAGTGAACGGACACCAGGATCATCTGGCCCCGGAGCTTGCCTGTTTTTTTTGGACTGCCTGCTCCTAGGTTGTATCTCTTGGTCAGTTGCCGCACTGCCAGGGACAGTAGAAACAATGCATTTGGGTCAGAAGAGTATTGATCTAGAAGTGAAGAGCGAGAAAGTTGTGTGGCTTTGATGTTCATTGCATGAACACCTACTGTCCCTGGTTCATACCGGTGCAAGCAATACATGTAATGTCATGTACGGTCGACCCAGTTGCGCCTGTCATTTCCAAAGGCATTCACGGCGACTCCAAACAGGTTCTCACCTCCACATATAGTGCACGATATTGTTTGCGTACTGTGGGCATGATTTTCGGGGTCTGGTTCCTGACTTGTGTGGTCTCTCTCTCTCCCTGCTGTGATTGCTGGCATGCAGAACTACGGGTCGGGACGAGCAGATCCATTGGAGAGTGTGACCAACACAATGGCATCAAGTTCACTGCAACCGGTTACGAACAAAGGTATGCTTTGGATATTCTGCGAGTATTGTCAGGTTTTAATATGCTGATGCTAATATTGTTGTTCTTGTCAGAGTTGTTTTCAGTGTTGTTCGTGCCCGCTAGCATCTTCTTGCTTACGTGGTGTACCATGACTGGACCTCGCGATCCGCATACCACGTGCCAGTGCGTGGTTTTCGTGTACAAACGCATCCACATGTGTACAAAAAGCTTCGCCATGTCCAGTTTCCACGTGGCATGCAGAAGCCAGAACCAGAGAATTGTACGAACAAATAGTGTTTGTATGACTCCCTGACCTGCTGGCTGCATGCTTACAGCACTCGCTTGCATGCACTTGTCCTTTTTCTCGCTTGTTTCACAGTGTGTGTGTATGCTAGCTGTACTGAATGACTCCCATACATGTTTGTGCGCGTTAGCTGTACTGTATGAGACCCACATGCACGATTTCACACCTTTTTAATCTGCGCCATGCATGTGCAATGTACAGTCGAATGTCACTTATCCGGTCGCCAGTTATCCGACAAGCCCGGGAGTGGTAATTTTATGACTCTCAACAGTAAAATCTAAAAAATGAATAAAAAACTTCTCCTTTTTTTTGTATATTATACGGTGTAATATGCATTTTCTTGATGTAGATGTGGTCAAGTATGCTAACATGTATGTGTACATGGAATATGCATGAATATATTTGGGTATTGTGTACATAAATCAGTGAAATCCAGCCATATATGCACATAAAAAATGATATCAGTTATCCAACATGCCTGATTCCCGAAGTGGTCGGATAAGTGACATTCGACTGTATGTACTGCTCTTAAAGTATGTGTGTTCGGTCATCCGGTTCCCTCACCTGTGCCAGCCAATTAATCAGGTTTCAATCTCTTCACCACCACAGTCTTACACTGCGATTAACTTACATGTACTGTGTCGAAGCAAGTATTGTCTTGCAATTCTGTGTCCATATGGCTGCATTTGCCTTGAACGCTTGTTTCCTGCAATCCCTGTCTTCTTGCTGCAGACATGTGGAGTGAGTATGCGGATCCCGACGATGAGTAAGTTGCCCAGACACTGGTATAGCTGCATACTGGTATAGCTGCAGTAACGTTGTGTGTTCGCCTGTATCGTTGGTGCCTAGTGTTTGCAACTGTCTGCTTACAATGTAGTCTTGCAATCAACCTTAATGTGTGCAGCTGTTTGCGTACAGTCTTTTCGTTTGGCATAATGCTGAATGTTCATCCTAACGATTTCCTTTGGTCTGTTCATGTTGTATGGTATGTGCGCTGCTGCCATTAGGTATGAGGATGATGATGACATGGCCCTGCAGAAGGATATGGAGGAGGAGTACGCACGTTTCCTTCGAGAGACTGAGGACAGTTGATGCGGTCAGCGCACGGCCCTGCTTCTTGTGCTTCTGTTGAAAATGGTGTGTTGCCCCTGACGACAGTGCCTGTGTCGGCAGTAGGAAATCTGTGTCTATCGTTTTTGTTGAGCTTCAGATTGCCTCTACTGTACCTCTCTATCATTTCCCACCTGCAGTATTTTCTACTCATGCAACAACATACATATTATCATAGTAACATATTATCAACCATGCATGCAACAGGACTGATTTTGGAGACCCCATTTTTACACAAAATATGACGGAAAACATCTCGATCACCTGCCCCATGATACATGATATTGCATTTTGTATTTGTTACTTTTGTGTGTGTCCGTCATCGTTTTATGCTCATACTTTATATGCTGATGACTTGTGTATCCTGAAGAAGCTTCGCACACTGTGTTCCTGTCTGATCTCTAGCCTGTGCTGAGCACTGCTGTAGCTGTGTACATGCTCAGCAGTGCTCTTCTGTACTTCAAAACTACACGTACATGCGTGCGCATGTGTGTGTATGTGTTTGTTTTATTCTCCCAATGCATGCTTTGAACCAGCTAGTAGTAGCCAGGGAGTAGTACAATAACAGTTACTACTGCTTTGAACTGTTTGTGAATTGTTCAAGTTTGATGAGAAACGTGGTGGACGTGCCATGCGATGGAGCTATCTCTCCTGGATGCTTTTGATGAAAGGGCTCCCAGAATGTATTCGACACCAGCTGCATGAGCACTTGCATTTACTACTTTTTGAAGTACATGTACATGTACTATACTTTTCACTGGCACAACGGTCTTTTGAGTGGCACCGTCTATAAGACTATATTATCAAGAGTACATGAAAATGTTTTCGTGTACTCTTGATATTATTATATCACCAATAGTACATGACCCCTAAAAGGCCGGCCTAAAGGGGCAGTGGTATGTAGGATTCTACATGACTGTACTCCTACCACAAATGCATGTCTGTTATAACTTATTCTTGCTAGTACAATGTACCAAGACTCAAGAGTATAACCTCCTGCGGGGCTTATACTCTTGCTAGTATATATGTACTACAGTGCTGGCAACTGGAATCCGCCCAGGGGGTCGGATTTCAGTTGCCAGCACTGTAGTATCAACAACTCCGCTACTATCAAGACTTGAAACGCCTTGATGACTGAAGTGCATGTGAAGACTGATGCAAGCATCGATAAGAAAGCACCGGCAGCAAATTGCACTGTGTGGCTGATACACGTACACGTATACCAGAAGTGTAGTGAAGTGTAGCATCTACAAGTACAAGCTTTGATCAAGGCAGTTTTTCAAAAATCATTAAATTTTTTTGTTGTGTTCATTAGCGACTAACACAATGTGTCAGTCTCTATACTACTAGCACGAAAATTGCCATGGTAAATGGGCAAGATGGTGGTGAGTTGTGGCAAGCTCAAAAACACTTTCTTCAATAATCATCTATTTTTTGAACCAATATCACCACCACCACCACTACGGTCACGACGGTCACGGTCTTCAGACAGAAACACCTAGAGTAAAAATAAATTATCAGGTTGGCGAAAGCAAACAGCGCTAGATATAAACCAAGTTGACAGTGCTGTTGAAATGGAATGTCTACATGATTCCTCCTCTACGTGATTCGTTGATCGTGTAAGCGCAGTGAATGGCTGTTCAAAATGCGATCGATAGTGCAGTGGCAGATACTGTGAACCAGCACAGGTAGCTGGACAATGCAGTTCCGAAATAAATCACGGGTAAGAAAGCGCAGGATCAGTGGATGCAGCAAGGTACAGCAGTTATGATAGACAAAAGGCATCCACCCACAACAGTTATACAACCAATGCAAGTATAGCATATTCACTTCAGTGCTGAGTAACTAAGCGCTAAGTGAATCATCAACATGGAAAGGAAAGCTACTTCAAAGTAAAATGAATACAAAGAAAGAAAGAAAGAAAGAAAAACAGCAGCTTGAAGCTCGTGTATGTCAGCCAATGTTGCAGGCAGCTGTGAGCAGAAATAGTACTCAAAAATGTAAATGTTGGACACAAAATAGCAACAGAATAGAAACACATCAGGATCACTGTCCTGGCTCATAAATGAGCATTTGCAAAGAAAGATGAAGTCAAAAGCAGCACAGCTGGGCCATCATAGCAAGCCAAGGAAAGCCACGAAATTGGAGAACGAGCACGCTACTTGGGTCAGCCACTCTTTTATAGCCGTTGTTGCCTACATTCCTCTGGAGTAGTACAGGAACTCTTCACGAGTAGCCAACTGAATTTCGGGCTCACAGTATGATGTCTCGACCTACATTCACAGACAGGCAGCATATAAAATTGATTGTTCTAAACAGGGAGTAGTACAATACTGTATTGTACTACTCCCTGGTTCTAACTGTTAATTAAAAATGACCGAATCAAATTCGTCAAAACACTTTCCAACGAAACTGAACACACATACTTGTAGTAGTGCTTCCCAATGCAACTGCGTGGCTTAAAAGACCAAACAGGGTCTGTCAAATAACAAGATTAACCATTTCAATTATTAAAAGCTATCCACCGACTATAAACAGCCTAATGTCCACCTACCTTCAGGGTCTGAGGAAACAAAGCAATCGTCATGGGCAGTGCAATAGCAAACGCACTCATGCACACACCAACGTGTAGAGGGAAGCGCACAGCTGGGAAATTCCTCCACAAGGCAGTCCTAAAGAAAAAAAGCAGCAGCACACAACACACAATGGACTAACACACATGATGATAGATCTAATTCTCACGGCTCATTGCAGTGTGACCACGGGTAAGACCAGTGATGCCAGAGAGGTGTGAGCAGTGAGGTTAGCAAAATGCAGTGGCCTTGCAAACAGATTGAGGACGAAGGTTTCAACTCCCAAGAGATCCACAGAGGTTAGGTACCTGACTTCAGTTCGGGAAGCAAAGGTGACAAGAGAGAGAGAGAGAGAGAGAGAGAGAGAGAGAGAGAGAGAGAGAAAGAAAGAGAGAGAGAGAGAGAGAGAGAGAGAGAGAGAGAGAGAGAGAGAGAGAGAGAGAGAGAGAGAGAGAGAGAGAGAGAGAGAGAGAGAGAGAGAGAGAGAGAGAGAGAGAGAGAGAGAGAGAGAGAGAGAGAGAGAGAGAGAGAGAGATCAACACTGCCCTCACTAAGCCAAGCCCTTTGAAGCAAGATGTCTCCAACAGCACTCTTGCTTACGACCAGGATTGATAACGGGCTATCTCCACCTTCACCCATGATACCTGTCGACACCAGCATGCCAAGGCTACAGGTAGCTTGCGCCGGCATCCTAGCTGCACCCTGCCCCCTGTCCCGGCGGCATAACGTGGACATCAAGCTTCCTCCCATTGTCTTGTAGATGCTGTGCGTCCAGCCAACAATCCCCAGTGCAGACATCCAGCAGAGGACAGCAACACGTCCACAGGACTAAAAAACCTACACTGCTATATGTACACCTGCCACAAGAATGACAGGAGAGTCCTTTGAGAGAAGCTGCTTGCACGGTGACATACACAGCCAGACAAAACGCACCACACAACATACACATGTTCAGACTTACCTCTCCATTGACGACAAAATCAAGGGTGGCAGTAAGAGAATAGGTGCAGGCAACAATGCCCTCGTTAGCATTGTGCTAACAACTGCCTGAATACACCAACAGCACAACATAACGCAAGAGAAAGTTTGAAACATGTAACTCTGTGCAGCTCCATCGATTGCAGCATGTGACATCCAATCCCATCCAATGATACGATCCGAGGATGCACAGCTAGGGTTCCACTTCCACTTGTAATGCCCTTACACTGCTCACCCTATCCCTCCTATCCATCCCCCTTGGCGTAACTCATGGAACCCTGAGCACTTCGCAAGCTTGTACTAAATAGAGAAAGGAACATTGACGGTAAGTTCCATTTGCATCAAAGAAGTTGCACATAACGAAGTTTCGAAGTGGTCGACAGATCAGGTAACAATGAATAACTACGCAAATCGGTTGATTTGGAGCTTGCACAAAAGGGGGAACTTCATGTTTCGCCGAGTATGGGAAATAGGTGCCGACAGTCAGGTAAGCACATACCCAGTGCACTGCGGTATGGATGTACAGTAAACCACCTGTCAAGGCAACCCATCGGATAAGGCGACCACCTGTCCTAGACCACCTGTCCTAGAACTTGCTAGAAGACCACTGAAACCAGGATGCTATTTCCAGTCCAATGGCACTGGATGAGGAGACCACCTGGTAACAGAGACCACCTTGTGAAGGTCCCTTGAGCGGTCTCGTCTTAGACAGGTTTCACCGTTTTGTACACTACTGCGTGGCAGTATGGTGATCGCAATGAAGATAATGAAAAAACATATATTATAGGGGATTCACACGAATGCGCAAGCTCACGTGTGTGGTACTCTTTTTACTCGTGTGACCCAAGCGCATGCAAAATCTTGATAAACTTGCTCGGGGGTCCTTGGCCTACGTTTGTCCTTTGCGCGCGTGTAAAAACAGCGAAAGTACTTGAGTATGGTACTCAAGTTACATGAGTACACAGATGCATGCGAGATTTGCACGAGTCTGTTGTCCGTGTGAATCCGATGGGCAGCTTGTCCACTTTTACACAAACGTGTTTCGTTCATTTTCACGTCGTGTGAATACCCTATTATCACTGGCTGTGTCCAACTCAGAATGATAGTCTTTTGTTGTTGAGCTCTTTTTCCGTCGAAATTTCACGAAAGTTCATATGACTTTCGTTACTCTAGACCGTAACCGCCAAATCTTACGAATTTCCCTTGTTCGCAACCTCTCTACTGTTGCGGAATGAACGCACATGGTGGCGACAGTGCTTACCCTCTTCGAGCGCCGCTGAGTACAAGTTGGAAGTTACAGGGTGGATCATAAGATAACGCGCTTGGAACGCCCAAGGCCCCTCAGAGCGTGCAAGGCACCCTGGACCATTTAAGGCGCATTGGATCGTGCAAAGCGCACCGGACAGCGCTGATGTGTATGGTGACGTGACGTCATGCAAACCGCTTTGCCACGGGTCAGGGCAACCCTGCCCGTGAGCTCATATATTCGTTTGAGTTTCTTGAAGAAGTTAGATGTGTGTCCCAGGACTCCCTGTGTTGTCTGAGAGTGAGAGTGGGACACGCAGAGCGTGAGGCGAACATAACATGGCGCAGTGAACAGTTTATGTATGTATTTGTAGTAGTTTGAACCTCCGTGTAGCGCCTCGTCGGCGATGGGCAAGAAAAACTTGAAAAAGCGACAATCAGCTAGCGCGGCGTCCTTTAACGAGGAAATTCAGGCAGATGCGCCACCGGCTTGGCTTATGCCTATCCTCCGGCAAATGCAGGACGACAGCTGTCGACGGGAGGAGGCATTGCTGGCCAAATTGTCAGGCCACCCACGACATGATCCGGTGTCTTCTTCTGTTGACATGGACGAGCGTGTTTCCAGCACCCCGATAGATTTTTCTGGATCGCCTCGCCCTGAGCACGAGGCCCTAGGGCGCACGATGAAGGAATTGGTTGCCCGCGCTGCCAGTGTCGGACGGGCGACCAATGCCAAGCCCCCTCCCGAATTAGACTCCGGAATCTCTCTCCATGATTTCTCTGGCTGGCGAGCCCGGTGGGATGACTATGCCACCCTAATCCGATTGGATAGACTGAGTACACGGGAGCAGTTGGCCCACTTGCGGACTTGCCTGACCAGCAACATGCGTGCCACGCTGGAGCACGCTATTGACATAGGCTCGTGTGCGCCCGTCACCGATGTGCTGGACGTCATGCACGGCTTTCTCCGGAGCCAGCGCAACGTTGCCCTGGACCGCACAGCGTTTGCGGAGCGTCGGCAGGAGGCAGGCGAGTCGTTCGACGACTTCGTTGTGGCCCTCAAGGCCATTGCAAAGAATGGCGATCTTTGTGATCACTGTTTGGAGCAGCAGATGGTCACCAGGATCATGTGTGGGGTGCGTTGCGTGGACACGCACCGTAAGTTGCTGTCTGTCCACCCATTTCCCTCATTAAAATCCGTCATGGATATATGCCGTTCGCGGAAGGCAGCCGTCAAGGACAACGCCATATTGTCCACCTCAAAGGCACCGGAGGTCATGGTCCAGGCAGCAAAGGCTGAGGTGGCACCCCAAACCAAGTGTCGTTACTGCGGAGGCACCCTGCACGGTGTCGCCAGGAAATGTCCCGCACGTGTAACGCATGCGGGGTGCGGGTGTGCGAGAAGACGTCCACAGCATCGGCACACTCCTCCAAATCGGAAGCTCGGTCAGTACGCGTTATGGAGGCAGCACAGCACGGCACAGCACGTGCCCACAGGATCCGAGTGCAGCTGGGCAGTATATTTCACAAGGAAGATTACGGCACATGTTTGGCGACTACGGACACGGGGGCAGATGCCTGCATCATGGGCCACTCCTTATTAGAGTTTCTTACCATCCACCCAAATCAGGTGCGCCCTGTTCAGGCTACCCAGATCATCGCTGCCAACGGATCCGACCTGACATGCATTGGCACTCTTTCCCTCGCCATACGCTACGGCGACAGGGTGGCTCCGTGTACGGTATTTGTGTGCAGCAACCATGATGGCATGCTCCTCTCCTGGGAAGTCTGTCGGCAGTTGCAGATAATCCCGGAGGACTACCCGAACCCCATCCAGATTGCGCAAGTGGAAACCCCGAACATCTGCGCGACTGACAGCGATACACAGGTGCAGCAACTCACGGATATCTCTTCGCTGGGACGACGCATTCCGGACACTCCCTCAGAGTCAGATCGAGCCCGTATCCGTAGTCAGCTAATTGCTCACTTTTCATCAGTGTTTACATCTGAGGACACTCTGCAGACCATGGCCGGCCCACCTATGCGCATCCATGTGCAGGAGGACGCTATCCCGACGTGCGTTCACGGCACCCGTCCAGTGTCATATACACATTGAGACGATGTCAAGGCTAAGCTGGACACCGTGGTGCGGCAAGGCGTGATAACGCCACTCGGAGACGTGCCGACTGATTGGTGCCACCCGCTTGTTCTGGCCCCGAAATCCAACGGTGGCCTGCGCATCTGCATCGACTTGACTAAGCTTAACCGTCACGTGTCTCGGGCGTACTACCCACTCAAAACGCCGAAGGATGCTGTATCCGACATTCCCCGCGGGGCCAGATACTTCACTACCCTGGATGCCATGCACGGCTACTGGCAGATAACACTGGCGGAAGACTGCCAGCACCTGACAGCCTTCATCACCCCTTGGGGGCGGTACAAATTTCTGCGTGCACCCATGGGCCTGTCCTCGACTGGCGATGAGTATTGTCGGCGGGGAGACATTGCTTTGGCAGGCATTGGCAATCTGCAGAAGGTCATAGACGACATTCTCGCTCATGACACAACGTTTTCGGCACACATCGAGCGCATCTGGAACATTCTCACGCGGTGCAAGGAGCAGGGTATCACGCTCAACGCTAACAAGTTCACATTTGCTCAAGAGCAAGTTCACTACGTGGGCTACGTTATCTCTCGCTTCGGCATAGCAGCGGAGCCAGGCCAGCTCAAGGCAATTCGTGAGTTCCCTGCACCCACTAATATCTCCGAGCTACGCACGTTCATGGGGATGGTCAACCAGCTCGGCCACTTCTCAAGTAGCATCAGCAGCACCGCGAGCCCGCTCCGCTCACTCCTTAGCACCAAGTCGGTCTTCCAGTGGCTTCCGGGGCATGAGACCGCCTTTGATGCCACAAAGATTGCGTTGGTATCTCCACCCGTGCTAGCACATTTTGACCCCAGTCACCCGACGGCATTGCAGACAGATGCGTCCCGTCGCAAAGGTCTCGGCTTTGTTCTGCTCCAGAAGCATGACTCGGAGTGGCGGCTAGTGCAATGCGGGTCCCGATTTCTCACTGACACGGAATCGAGGTACGCCATGGTTGAGGTGGAATTGCTGGCTGCGGTGTGGGCAGTGCACAAGTGTCGCGTCTTCCTGCTTGGCTTGCCAACATTCTCGCTGATTGTCGACCACCAGCCTCTCATCTCCATCCTCAATCACCAGACTCTAGACATGGTCGAAAACCCACGATTACAACGGCTTAAATCCAAGCTCAGCATGTATGTCTTCGACACCGTTTGGTGTAAGGGTTCAGAGCATGCCATCCCAGACGCCCTCTCCCGTGCACCAGTTCAAGACCCGTCACCTGAGGACGAGGCGCTGGACGCCGAAGTGCAGTTCTGCGTACGGGTCGTCACCACCATGAACGCGGATCAGTTGGCCGTAGCTGCCGCTCCATCCCCTTCTGACAGCACCTCTGCAGCTGACCCCATCCTGGCGCAGCTAGGCGAGGCTGCCGCTGCCGATTCAGACTACTGCGCGCTACGGGAAGCGGTGATCGATGGGTTCCCCAATCGCTGGAGTACCACGAGCCACGCATTGCAACACTATTGGCCACTGAAATCGGAGTTGTCAACGGATGGTCACCTTGTCCTCTACGGCTCCCGGATTGTCGTCCCAGCCGCAGCCCGGCCCGACGCCCTACAGCGTTTGCACGCCTCGCACCAAGGCATTGTTCGGACTAAACAGCGGGCCCGACAAGTGTTATACTGGCCAGGCATGACAGTTGACATTGAGCGAACTGTCCGATCTTGTTCGAAATGCCAACAGCATTTGCCCAGTCAGCCTAAGGAACCGCTGCAGCGAGGCCCTATGCCGTCGCGTGTCTTCGAGGAAGTGTCAGCGGATCTCTTTTCCCATGCCGGCAACCATTACCTCGTGTATGCTGATCGCCTGTCTAACTGGCCTTGCATTGCGGTGTGGTACAGACGCGATCCCACCTCCCGAGATGTCATCCAGATTCTCCGGGGGAACTTCGTAGCATTCGGCGTTCCGACAGAGTTTCGGTCAGATGGTGGTCCTCAATTTGCCTCCAAGGAATTCGCCGACTTCATGACCCGATGGGGCGTTCAGCACGTCTTGTCCAGCCCCATTTCCCACAGTCGAACGGCCACGCTGAGTCCGCCGTTCGCGCTATGAAGCACTTGGTCTCGAAGTGCACGCACCACGGCAATCTTCAGGATGAGGCCTTCGATAGCGCCTTGCTGGAGTGGCGCAATACCCCTAATGCAGCGGGCGTGTCTCCCGCCCAGATGCTATTCGGACACCCGCTGCGTACACTCGTGCCGGCTCATCGAAGCGTATTCGAGCCCTCATGGAACCAAGCTGCCGCCTCCCTGGATCGCAAAGTTGCCGCTCAGAAAGCCGCGTCCGAGTACGACCGATCAGCTCACCCACTCCAACCCTTGGCTGATGGTTGCCAGGTCCTGGTGCAGAATCCTCGCACCAAGAAATGAGACCAGGTCGGCACAACCATCCGTATTGGTCGTACCCGCAGTTACCATGTCCGCCTTCCAAGCGGCCGCGTGCTCTGGCGCAACCGCCGGTACCTCCGCCCGGTGCCACCGCTGTCAGCCTCCGATCTCGGTCAGTCTCCAAGCTCGAACAACTCTTCGGCACTCCTCCAGACTGCAAAGCAGACACCCGGCCCCTCTTCGGATTCCTCGATTACCGTCCGGCCGCATAGCTCCCGCAGCAGAAAGCAACCACAGCGTTTAGATCTGTAGACTTGCAGTATAGTTGATTGTTTCTGTTTTCATCTTTATTCCGTTACATCTGTCTATTTTTATATCTTCAAACTGCAATCATTTTCTCTGCTCTTTCCATTTCTTGCAGTTTGGGAGAGGGAGTTGATGTGTATGGTGACGTGACGTCATGCAAACCGCTTTGCCACGGGTCAGGGCAACCCTGCCCGTGAGCTCATATATTCGTTTGAGTTTCTTGAAGAAGTTAGATGTTTGTCCCAGGACTCCCTGTGTTGTCTGAGAGTGAGAGTTGGACACGCAGAGCGTGAGGCGAACATAACAAGCGCGTGGCTCCTTGGACCACATATCGCACTAGATTAGCTGGGGCTTCTGGATCTCTTGGGCAGCTAGCATTATACTTACTGTCTGAGCACAGCTGCGTGACTGCCCGACAACACGTCCGTTTTCCTCGTGCACATCTACGCCATTGGCCAATTCACTGCTTCGCATGCATAGGACGTTGACTTGATTGGCCGCAGCTGTAAGGTGCACACAGAGTCACATGGGTCCGCACTAAGAGCAGCAGGCACAGTACTTTTTCTGACGAATGCAACATACACAGGTACATGTATTTCCGACTATTTCGAGATGAATAAGCGACGCGGAGACTAGAGTTTCAACTTTTTCAAGGTTGGACCAACGGTCACTTTTTGGGGTCACATGCGAGAAAATTTGAATCGCTTGGTGAACAGATGAAGCCCAGTTCACGTTCACTTTGTATGGGAATGGATGCATGGAAGTGTTCACTTTGTATGGGAATGGATGCATGGAAGTGAAAGAAGCAGTAGAAGGGCGCTCCACTTGATGTCCGACACTCGTGTTTGAGTCAGAGCAGTTGCCAGGAAGCCGTTACATGGGTTGGGCGAAAAAGAACAAGCTTCAGAATTGCTCCAAGCGCTGGTGGAGACGGACCTGTCACATTTCGTATACATTTCAATGCGCTTCGGCATGCGACCTGTTCACCACAATCTCTGGGCGAGCGCCGGTGGGGGGGCATGGCGCCCAGTCCAGTGATAACTGGAATTATCACTAATATCCATGAACCTTCCAAGTAGTTGGAAGTTAGCGCTATCGAGCAGTGCTCAAGCTCACTTCCTTGCCGTGGAATGTCTCAGTACTCCTTGTCAGTCTGGTGCTACCTTGTGCACGTCTGACTGTTCAAAACCTGGTTTAGTTGGTGGTTTTCCTTGTTTCAATTTAACTTTAGATTCATTGTAGTAGTCAAGTGGTGTGCTTCACTGTCTGAAGAGCGCCCAATACCCATGTAGGGCAGTTGCCTGATGATCGTAGTAATACGTGAATCTCAGAGTTGTGACAAAGCTTCCAATCTCTGTTGTGGATTCATTGTAGTATTAAGAACTCAGATGGTGAGCCAAGGAAAGATTGTAACATGGAACAATGTGAGGACCAAGTTATGCGATCAATCAGGCCAGCATTCCATGAAGCGTTGGAATGTAGCTTGTGCTCGGCTCGATGGCGCTTACCTTCCCCTCTATGGAATTAGCACTAATATCCATGAACCTTCCAAGTTGGAAGGCCGTTGGTTAGCGCTATCGAGCAGTGCTCAAGCTGAAGTTCATGCCATGGATATAATCTCAGTACTCCGTATCAGTTGTGTGCTAGATTGTGCACGTCTGATTGTTCAACATCTGGTTTAGTTGGTGGACTCGATCGCATAGCTTGTGCTCACATTTTTTCATGTTACAATTCATTGTAGTATACTTGTAATTTTTGCTACATTCAATGCCCGCCTCAAAATTATTATTCAACGCTCTAATTAAACGATGAGCACATCAATGATTTCCTGAGTGACATGGCAGAAAGACCGAACCCTTACCTACTGCAATGAAAGGAATCATCTTGGCTAAACGTCGATCTCTCTTTGCAAACTTCTTAAACCATGGAGATGTTACAGCATTGTGGAGGAGTACCTGGAAAAAGTACACAGCATACAGGGTTCTAGCCAGGTCAATATAGTAGGGGGGCGGTCATGGGAAAAAGTTACCCTATGACCCATTTTTTCCATTGTCCAAAATTGTCTTGCCATGCAAAATGCAACATACAGGGTGAACCCCGACTTCACCCCTCACAAATGTGCCTTTATGAACCCTCTAGTAGTGACTATCGACTGTATTTTCGTTGAATGGCGTGAAAAACACAAAAATCGGAAAATGAGTAGGGGGGGCGGCACTTTTTCACAGGGGGGGGGGGGGCTGTGCCCCCCCCCCCCTACCCCCCCTTTGGCTAGAACCCTGGCATAGATGTGTTGAAAAGGTGCAGGCAGCACAGATATAGATGAACCTGTTGGTGAAATACACACACACACATATCTACAGAAGCTATTGATGATTGTCCACTGGGCATTTCGGTGGATTTGTCGCAATGGAAAAGGGCTGTTCACCAGTACAAGAAAGAAGGACATGTTCAAAACGTCATAAAAAAAGATGAATAGCGAGAGAAAAGACCAATGGATACAACTATTTCATGAGCAACGATCCATCGTTTGAATTAGCCTCAGCTAGGCAGTGAACAGTCAGATATGGTAGCGCAACAAACAGGCACAAAAACTGACAAAGACCGAGATATTCAACAACCTGACACCTAGCTAGAACGCATGTCCAAACTCGCAAACCAACAGCCCTCCTACCTGTAAGGTAGGGGAAAATCCCCCGGGAAATTTTTCAAAAAATGAAGCAAAATCCTGCATTTTGAGCGAAAAGGGGGGGGGGGTTCCGGGCACCCAGGAACCCATACGGCCCGGGGAACGCGCCTGGGTGTTAGGCCGTTGAATGTCTCAGTACTCCTAGTCAGTTTTGCACCTATTTGTTGCACCATCTGATTTTTCACTACCCTGTTCAAATAATGGGTTGTTTGTAATTAATGGCTGAACATACGAATAATGAGTGGGGTAATAACTTCAAAAATATATTACTGTGTGGATGTGAGATCCAGGCAAACCTAAGATCTGGTGGTTCACCCTTCAGTCTCAAACTGCCAGAATATGCTGAGTGTATCTGCACACTGAAGCAAGCAAGCAAGCACAGTTCTGGGCTACCTTTCGCGACACACCATTGATGCAGAGCTCGTGCATACACTTGAAGACAGAGAGAGAAAAAAGGCGAGAAAGGAAGGTAAATGAAACCAGAGTCTGTCATCCGACTACAGTTTTAATGCACAACAAAAGTAGAGCGTATGTGAAGTACTCACAGCCACGCCTCCTGCCGTGCCTGTGGCGGCAACGTAACTAACTGCAACGTCCGTATTGGACACTGGCTGTGCGCACGGGTGCCACCGCATGAGCAAAACACAACAAAACAAGCAGAGACCAATGTGCCTTCATAACAGTAAGCGATCTTGCACAGAGGGAAGTTGACGGAATCCATGCGAATAAGGATACGGTCATCTTGAGTAATACCAAAGATAAAGTAAAAATAAGTTGGGTTCAGACTTCTTGCACATTGTTGCAATTTAGACTACCAAGTCACGTCATGATGGTTCCTAGTTTATCCGATAACCTGTTGGCAATAGTTTTCCAAGAATGTTGTGTTGTGGTACCGGTAGTTGCATTCCATGATATAAAATCCAAGTCGCAATCGGTATGATCGGTACCAGCAGCTTACTGCCAGTTAGTCACAGAGGATACAGCGTACTACTGACAGCTATGCGTAGTAGCAGTGGACAAGATTAGTAAGACAAAATACACTTGAAAACAATTCTTGTCAGGAGCAAGGACTCTATTGGTGACAATGGACTTCCTTCACTTCGGACCCAACAATACTCCACAGTCCATTCGGAAATAATTAAGACGTGGGCCTTCCAAGCCCATTTTTACATCAAGCTTCTGAGCCAGTCGGCCTAAACCGGGTTTGAGAAAGTCAACACTTCAATTATTCTGGAATGGACTGTAGAGACTAGCATATCAGATGAGCCGGGATCTAATCATTCAACCCAGCCTGTCGCACCTAGAGGGTATGTACTATGTACGGCGGAAAGCAATTTTAATGAAGTTGCCAGTAGACCAAAGAGAAACTGTGACGAAATGGACTTCCTGGTAATATATGTCTACAAAACTTTTCAAACACATTCCGCCATTTTCGTCTAAGTGTTACGTGACCATGTATTCAGCGTCTGCAAGTTACTTTTCCTGTCATTGTCTTTTGAGTATACTACTGTACCATTCAGGCTAGTTCTGCTACCACTACTAAGCATGATAAATCCCTTCCCCGTACATGATCGCATCCTTTCCCGTCTCACGCTGTCGTGCATGGCGCACATACACACATATCCACACTCTCTTTTGGCATCGTACGTTGTACGCATTATTTTTGGGAATACTAAAGGCTGGCCAACAGCGACCAGGCGACTGGTGTATGCAGCATCGCAGCCTTCTCGGAACCAAAACTGGTCAACTCAGCATCCAAACGACAGCATATAGGCTAATCTCATTCATCCATGCTTTTATAAGAACGAAATGGCGCTGTTAGTGACATTTTGCATACAAATCCCCATCTAGTAGGGCACAGTCACCCGGAGGAGTGTCTCAGCATTCTCGGACCAAGATTATTCGACTCAGCACCCTGAAGACTACGAGTAGTGAGATTTTGATTCTGGACGATACTTCCTCTTTAAGCAAATGGCAATGACTAGACATACCTTTGTGGCACCATGTGTCGGTTTCTTAAGGGGGGGGGGGGGGGGGGGAGGGATGAAGAAAAAAGACTAGTTTTCGGTGCTAAAGAAATATCGGAATTTACGGATGGCCCCTTACGTGTTCTGCAGTATGCAAACATACCATGCTGGCCAGTCAAGCGGCTACTGAGCGATAACCATGCATTCTAGTAACACATACTTGCAAGTACGCATGCATGTACATAGCCCAGCAGCGCAATGCTCTCGGGCACCACACAATAGTGCATTGTCTCTCACTGTGGAGGCATTGCGATTGGCAAAGTTGACACCGGCATTGTGCGTCTGATTCAGAGCCTGCAGAGAGTTCAAAGGCCGCAAATCACAATTAGAGACAAGAAAAAAGAAGAAGGCAAAAGCGCTTTAATATGAGGATAAGTAGGTGCCGGACATTAGGTGGTGCACACACGATTGTATGAGATAGGTAACCGGGCATGCTGTGAACAAATGTCCAGCGTATGGATCAGCACGTGACAAGAATGGAAAACCCACCCACTGGGCAGGAATATATAGGGCCATGACTAAGGCTGGTGAGAGCACACCCAAAGAGTCAAGTGAGCGATGAAACGCACCAAGACTAGATCAACGAAATCAATGAACTCTGCTACATAACGTACATGTATGTGTTGGAATTAGAAGGACAAATTAAGTGACACTTGATTTTGAGTTCTCAGTGACAATGCGCTGGTCACTGATGATTTATTGGACATTCTCAATTTACAACGCTTGTAATATCCTCATTTGAAACTGCATCTTCACACTTGCTGCCTATGCCTTTCATCTCTCGTGGGGTGAATAGCTATGTATGCCTTTGTTCATGACGAGTGGGAGGATGAAGGGTAGGGTGTCCTATATTTATTATTCTGATATCGCTTGGGCATGCACGCACGCACGTATACGCACAGACACACAGACACAGCAAACACATCTGCCTCATTCTCGAGTCATAGTAGTGCTGCATCGATACAATACTACTCTGCTTGTCGTGCACTACTACTATGTATGCATGCTTTATGACTGGCCTTGTGGGGTCATTCCTTAGTTCCAGTAGATTATTCATCTTGAGCGTCGTACGGAAGCTTTCGAGCTTCCTGATATCTAACCTGGAAATGCCAACACCAACTTGTGGCGCTTGAACCAGTCAACTCTATCCATTTAGGCATTTGCCCTCTGCTCTGACACTCTCCGACTATAGAGCCATGCTCTACTTAGAGAGAAAAAAACCAGTACTGACCTCCTGTTTCTTTATGACAGGCCTGTTTAAAAGTGTAAGCATGACAGTCGTAGGCTTTGAAACACCATCACACACATTCAACAAAACACACACTTCACCACAGTAGTTTTTTCTTTAGGTACACTATGCACCTGGTTCTTCTGTTTCGTCCATGCCCTTGGTGCACCTGGCTAAAACTACAGTTGATTTGTTATTGACCTGCTAGACTCTGTTCAAACTACGTGGTGGGGAACATATCAGGCCATTTTCACCTCCAACACCAAGATACTTACTTGCCAGAATATAACACCAGCTGTTGTGGGATTGGGCAGTAGCAGACCAACTACCTGCAGGCGGACAGGTAACACGAGAAAAACAAAACAATGATGTCACACAGCCATTTGTCCAAGGAAAAGGTTCTTCCACTGCTTGTTCAATACGCTTAAAAACTGTGTGGGCTTTCATGGACTCATGCATTTCCAGTCACTGGCGGTTACGCAAGAACAAGAATACCCCCCATTGCTGTTGTAGTGCACAATCACTTACGGTGATAGTTCCGAATGGTACATACCCTGAGAAGAGTAATGGAAACGAAAAGCACAGAGAACACAGTCAGTTCATGGTATATTTGGGAGCAAAGGGATTTTCTGAACTTGCATGAAATTTAGTGCGGCATCTAAAGAACGCTGATTGCAGAATTGCGGAGCACTTTGACCAAGAGCAGAAGAGAAGTGAGCATTTTTCAACACTGACTCAGTTGTCCAAAAGACAAACCGTATAAGGTAAATCTTGAAAAGTGATATGGCAGGTTAAGGTTAAGCCCTTTTCCCTGCCACTGTCGACTGCAGTCTCTTACTGGCCACATACATGTAGAGTAAAACCTTTCAAGGCAACCACCTGTCACAGCAGACCACTGCAAGCAGCACCAAGGAGTGCTATTTCAAGTCCAATGACACTGGATAAGGAGACCACCTGGTAACAGAGACCAGGTTTCGAATGTCCCTTGAGCGGTCGTCCTAGACAGGTTTCACTGTACGCAAAAAGGCACACTCCGCGAACATTTAATGGTAAACTAGTGCTAGCTGCACAGCACATCCAACACTCTGTCGAGATGTCCTGGGCAGCCACAGTACACACGGGATTGCTGGACATTCGGCAACAAAGCAGTGCACAAGTAGAACACAATCAAGCACCTACAGGCAGCCAGCACAAGTGCACTATGCAGGAATGCTGATGTTAGCGATATTATGTCGGACGCAGTAACGGACACGTACCAGACATTCGGAGCGGCATGAAAATTTTCTTGCCTGTGTCCGGGTGGACAATGGCCTGCTTGATCTTCTGGGCTTCCCATAGCTACAGCCAACAACACAATACAGCACAGTACAGCATAGAACAGCATAGCAATGCACTGCATACAGCAAAGCAACAGCTTGCAATCCAGTTCCAAATTTCATGTTGCCAACTGTCATCGGAAAGTCTTTAAATACACCGTCGTCAGAGCCCAAAACAATAATGTGGGCACATGTAGAAAAGCCTGCCATACAAACCTTGGAATTAGAAACATTAGCAGGCAGTTTTCCTTCCTTGTAATCATCCAGAAGTTGAATCGATGATTTCAGTTTCGCCTAAATGGAAGAAAAAGCATAGAAAAGTACAAAAATAAAATAAATGAGACCTATGGGCATATGGTCCCGTACCAAAACATTGCTATTGACCTCTCGACAGGTTACTTTTGAGCTGCAATAGCAAATCATCATAGCTAGCCTAAGGCGGCTGGGGAACAAGTACATTTCTTTTGAAGATTGCTGGCTACTTCTTTTCACCTTTGTCGTTTTGAACAAAAATTGAAATAGGTTTCATGGCAAATCTGTGAATATTTTCCAGAGATTCACGGTGAAGCCATCTCATATTGTTCGTTGTGATAAGGCCTGTCGGGACTGAACTATTTTTTATGTTCCACTCGATGCAGAGTAAACTCCTTGTGGCAGTCTAGTATGCACTGCACTGTACTGTGTTCGGCGTGCATGTATGTACAGTGCGTATCGGTTATAGCGTGGTCGTGTAAAAGAATATACTGCTTACAAGAATGACCTCTCATGTTTTCATAATCATAACATGGGTTTCAAGTAAACATTTATTTTTACAAGCAATGTTATCGCATAGTAGAATATGTCGGTCCTAAGGATTGATTTTGTGCAGTGAAACATACCAGATTAGTACAAAGTGTATCGCCTGTAGTAATAACATCTGTCCAATGCAGTTCTCAGACTCGCATTGCATCGTAGTGCTGCAGGTTCAACTGTTGTTGTCATGTATCGCATGCTGCATAGCCACATGGCAAGCGTATGGGACTATGAACACCCGCATGACACAGCAGCGATACGTTGTATGTATGATGGCCATCCTGTCTCTGCGCACATGCATCTGATATGTCACACAGGATTTATCGTGTGTAAGAAATATCGGAAATAAGAATAGAAAGTCGTTTTCAAACACCCACGCTATAACCGATACCTACTGTACATGCACTGCATTCGAAGTGACGTCTCGAATACTCGAATGTGACTTAAAGAATATTCGAATGTGACAAACCGAACGAATGTTTGAATATTCGTTTCACCACTACTGATTTGTGGCTTATACTCCGAATATCAATAAAGATACGAATCTTGGACGGTGGGGGGCTTAGACTCCGGTCCGGCTAACATGATAATTATTATGTCACATTGTACTGCACTTGATAGCCTGGATCTAATTCCTACCCTCTAGTGAAAAACCAGCTGGAAAGCAACACAGTGTGTGTGTGTGTGTGTGTGTGTGTGTGTGTGTGTGTGTGTATGTGTGTGTGTGTGTGTGTGTGTGTGTGTGTGTGTGTGTGTGTGTGTGTGTGTGTGTGTGTGTGTGTGGTATGGTGTGGTGTGTGTGTGTGTGTGTGTGTGTGTGTGTGTGTCAATTCATCAGCCTTGCAAGCTGTTGAATGGTGTAATCCCAGCACAAGTTGCTATGTCTAACATAGCTGTTCGCTATCATCGCTTCCGCGATGGGCATGTCTGAGGTCTGAGGTGTGTGTGTGTGTGTGTGTGTGTGTGTGTGTGTGTGTGTGTGTGTGTGTGTGTGTGTGTGTGTGTGTGTGTGTGGTGTGTGTGTGGTGTGTGTGTGTGTGTATGTGTGTTTGTGTATGTGTATGTGTGTGTGTGTATGTGTGTGTGTGTGTGTGTGTGTGTGTGTGTGTGTGTGTGTGTGTGTGTGTGTGTGTGTGTGTGTGTGTGTGGACATATGCATCTGAATCATGCTCCACCGTCTTCTCCATCAACTGCCGTGCGACGTACACCATATCGACGCAGCCACGTCCCTTTCTGAATGTCCTGTTCGTCGATCTGAGAAAGGCGTATGACAGTATCCCGCGTGCAGCGCTGTGGCAGGTTCTCCAAAAGCTTGGTGTTCCGCCGGCAATGCTCCGCATCATTCAGTCACTCCACAACGGCATGACTGCTTCTGTTCGGGTGGATGGCAAGCTGACTGACCCGATAACTGTGCAGAATGGATTGTGTCCGGGCTGCACTCTCGCGCCAATGCGCTTCAATTTGTACTTCTCTGCCGTCGTTGCCAGTTGGAGGTCCAGTTGTCCGGATGCTGGCATATCCTTTCGATATAAAGTCGGGAGGAAGCTAGTAGGTGACCGAACAGCGAAGGGCAAGCTCCTGTCATCAACGGTCACAGAATCCCAGTTTGCTGACGACGCTGCACTCTACGCAACATCTCGGCCTGCCTTCGAAGCGATGACTTCCAGCTTCATCACATGCGCAAGCAGCTGGGGCCTGACGGTCAGTGTGAGAAAGGCCAAAGGTATGGCTGTGGGTGAGTCTGCTGATCGCCGTGACGTTGTTGTTGGAGCAGACACAATTGAGGTGGTGGACCAATTCACCTACCTTGGCAGTGTGCTCTCCTTGGATGGTCTTGCCTGTGCTGATGCCCGCTCTCGCCTTGCGAAAGCCTCAGCTGTGTTCGGAGCCCTCAAAGCTCCTGTCTTTGATAACCAGACCCTGTCGCTTCGCAGCAAGAGGCGTGTCTATGAGGCTATCGTCCTCACGACCCTCTTGTATGGTGCGGAGACGTGGACCACCAAGGCAGGCCACCTCCAGAAGCTAAACACGTTTCACCATCAGTGTGTTCGGTCCATTGTGGGTATCGGCCGTCGTCAACAGTGGGATGATCGGATCTCATTGGCCCCATTAGCAGCGCTGTGGCAGGTTCTCCAAAAGCTTGGTGTTCCGCCGGCAATGCTCCGCATCATTCAGTCACTCCACAACGGCATGACTGCTTCTGTTCGGGTGGATGGCAAGCTGACTGACCCGATAACTGTGCAGAATGGATTGTGTCCGGGCTGCACTCTCGCGCCAATGCGCTTCAATTTGTACTTCTCTGCCGTCGTTGCCAGTTGGAGGTCCAGTTGTCCGGATGCTGGCATATCCTTTCGATATAAAGTCGGGAGGAAGCTAGTAGGTGACCGAACAGCGAAGGGCAAGCTCCTGTCATCAACGGTCACAGAATCCCAGTTTGCTGACGACGCTGCACTCTACGCAACATCTCGGCCTGCCTTCGAAGCGATGACTTCCAGCTTCATCACATGCGCAAGCAGCTGGGGCCTGACGGTCAGTGTGAGAAAGACCAAGGGTATGGCTGTGGGTGAGTCTGCTGATCGCCGTGACGTTGTTGTTGGAGCAGACACGATTGAAGTGGTGGACCAATTCACCTACCTTGGCAGTGTGCTCTCCTTGGATGGTCTTGCCTGTGCTGATGCCCGCTCTCGCCTTGCGAAAGCCTCAGCTGTGTTCGGAGCCCTCAAAGCTCCTGTCTTTGATAACCAGACCCTGTCGCTTCGCAGCAAGAGGCGTGTCTATGAGGCTGCCGTCCTCACGACCCTCTTGTATGGTGCGGAGACGTGGACCACCAAGGCAGGCCACCTCCAGAAGCTAAACACGTTTCACCATCAGTGTGTTCGGTCCATTGTGGGTATCGGCCGTCGTTAACAGTGGGATGATCGGATCTCAATGGCCACATTAGCAGCTACATTCGGTGTTGACCCTGATATCACCCGCATCATCCGTCGCCACCGGCTTCGTTGGCTGGGTCACGTCGGCAGGATGGACGACTCACGCGCACCGAAGCAATTGCTGTTCGGCGAGCTGCCTGCCCTCCGTCCTCGTCACGGCCCGAAGAAGAGGTGGCGAGATTTGGTGTCGACTGACCTGGCGGACCTCGGCGTGACCACCTGGCTTGAGAGTTGCCAAGATCGTCCCGGCTGGAGACGAGTTGCGAGTAGCACCCCACCGCCACGGCCCGCTCCTGATCCTCTTCTATGTGTCTGTGGACGCCCATTTCGTCGACCAGGAGACCTGAAACGACATGCCAAGTTCGGCGCTCGTGTTCTCACTTGAACTTTCCGACATTCGCTATCATTGCGTACGCAATGGGCAAGATCAAGATCAAGGTGTGTGTGTGTGTTATGTGTGTGTGTGTGTGTGTGTGTGTGTGTGTGTGTGTGTGTGTGTGTGTGTGTGTGTGTGGAGGGGGGGGGGGGGGGGGGGTATCAACGATATTTGTACATGCACTGGCTATAAAGAAGCGACTACTCTACTAGCACAAGTCTACGTGATGATGGTGAGCTATACTTACGTCACTAACTAACAACATCCGAGGATCGACAATGTCCATAAAGTGCCGCAAACGTCCTTTGTATGTACTCTGCAAAGAGTGGAAATAGAGCAGAGTCCGATACCTCAAAACCAGAAAATGAATGTTGTGTCCGATGACAATGGAAACGTACATGTACCCTATATAGTATAAGCATGGTGTGGTCTACTGAAGTTTCATTGTTCTACTACTGTCCTCAGACCTGGCCAGTGAAACTCGCCCCCATCATGTACGAAGCGGCGTCGCGCTCGAGTACACAGTCCAGTACAGTATTGCCAGTGCTAGTGTATAATTAGTATATACATGAACCGGTACATACAGGAGCGCAGTGCTCGTCGTTATTAAAAATACATTTTATTGACGGGGGGGGGGGGGGGGGGGGCTGGCCAGGACCGTAGAAAAGCTATGTGCTGGAGGAATCAGGCCGGGATACACTAGAAGATGATCACACTTGTAAAGTGCCAGTGGTCTGAAAGCCAAAGAAGCATCAGTTTACGCAAAGAGTATTGTGGCACACATGTCCATTCTACCCGCGCGGCTGTAACGTAACAAAATCAATCAATCAACACAGTAATGTAGGTGAGCCATTTCTGTCTAGTCGGGTTTTTACGTTTGAAAGATCACTCACTGCTCAGTAGATCCGGTATGCAATGTTCTCTGGTACCGATACAATCATGTCTAATGACGTAGGTCTTATGAATGAAAACTTTTTAGATCCAGCCTACCTGGTCATATCGGGGTTTGTTGAGACGAAATTCGTCTCCGAAGTCCTGGCGTTGTTCAACCATCTCGTTACTTCCTCACACGACCGTATTAATCCACGCCCGAGTAATTCAATGGCAGAAGACGTTGAAAATAAAATTATGATCATGAAGTCATGAACGTGATGTCACCTCAAACGGAAAGACATCTTCATTATCATGCGAGGGGAAGCCCAGACTCAAGGAAGAGCTTGAAGAAAACGACGTGAGTACTAAGTCGACCACTCTTCGACGTCTTTCAACTGGTACTTTTGACTTGACGCAGGCGCTCAACAAAGATCAAGACAAGAGGGCAAGAGAAGAGGTTGCAACGTTATGTTTGCCAGTGACTTCCATGAAGTCAAGGAGACTTCGGATTTTTTGAAGCACAAGACGTGCACCTGTGATTCTTGTGAAGTGTGATCGATCATTGCATGCATGCGAGCGTGCCCACGCGCCCACTTCACTTTCGTGTCGCTTAGTAACGGGTACTTCCCCTCCTTGACGCCATTTTTCACTGTGTGAGTGTGTCGACTTTGAACATGCATACATCTTGGCGATAGGCCAGTATGTGCGCAAGGCGATGCATGCAAAATAACCTGAAATCGGGCACGAAAGGTACTACGAAGAAGTGGTGCTTTTTTGATGTTGGTTTTTGTTGGAGGTTGTGCCAGTCTTGGTCAGCTGAGCAGCAGCCATGGCTTGGCAACCCGAGGAAGGGGCCCTTGTTCAGATAATGCAACTTCTGAGGGAAAGCCAGTCGCCCAATACTGAAGTGCAGAGAGCAATTCACGAGGTTAGAAAACAGTAATTTGTCACATAATAAGGTCCCACCTGTAGGTTGTAATTGTATTCAATGAAACGGTTTCTGTGGTATTGTTGTCTGTAGAAATTGAAAAGTCTGAACCAGTATCCCGACTTCAACAATTATCTTATGTACATTCTGGCAAAGTTGCCAGAGGAAGGTAAGCTTCTTCGTTCCCTAACTTCACCATTTCGTGAAAAGTGTTTCGCTCCAGTTATCCATCATAACTGCAAGGTGTAGAATGCATGCTAACTTGATAGAAAATCTTACTGGAGTCATGATTTTCAATTTGTGTGTTTCTAAGCAAGAGTACATACAAGGCGTATACACATTCTGCTCAGGCTTTACGTGCATTCACATTATGGTTCTCTTCATGTGTATTTAGTTCTGTATGAACATTGCCTACTTTTCCATGCTTTTGGCAGTGTTTCATAGCTGTGTTTGCAAAGTCAGTGCTAAAAAATCATAATAATTATGGTAGAACATAGTACATGTACGACCCTATTTACGACTATGTACTGGAAAAAGAATAAGGTGCACTCTCATGGGCGTGTGCAGGCTGATTTGCGCTTACCGGGGATGTGTTGATGCTGTGTGTGTACACATGTGTGCGCGTGTGCGCGTGTGTGTGTGTGTAACTTTGTATACAATGTTCAATATGCCTGTATGTGTCTATCTATGTTCTATTTTGTATTTTTGTCTTAGCCGTGGCCACGCGCGCATTAGCTGGTCTCATCCTTAAAAATAACATCAAGCAGTACTATGGAGACCTTCCAGAAGAAGTCAAGCATTATGCACGGGTCTGCTGTTTGGAGTCTCTTGGTGACGCTGCTCCTCTGGTGCGCACCACGGTTGGTATCCTTCTTTCCACGATCGTGAAGAAGATGACTGAGGATGGGGAATTGGCGCAGCCGGAGATGCTTGCTGCACTTATGTCATGCCTTGACAGCCCTGATTATAATGTCTGCGAGGTAATGGATTGCGTCCCTCGTGCCATAATTTTGTGTGTGTGTGTGTGTGTGTGTGTGTGTGTGTGTGAGAGAGAGGAGGGGGGGGGGGGGGGGCTATTTAAAGCCTGTTTTTTTGCCATGTTTGTAGCTAGCCATGCACACATACATCTGTTGGGATGGTACGCCATGTTGAAACGGCTTGAGAATTAACCTGAACAACAATACCCTGCCTACGTGACACGAGGTGCTACTCTGTCAATTTTGTTGAGACTTGCATCCGACACTGTTTTCGCAGAGAGATTCATTGGAAATGTTGTCTTCATCCATAGAGATAGTTGCCAGACTAACAGTGATTTGTACAGCCTTTCAGCGAATTCATTCATGATGTGAGGCTGAAATTTTCTTCCAGGTGCACAGCCTTTCTGTGGGAGCCTGCATGAAGATTGAGTAGTGAGGAAGTCTGAAGTCTGGATCAATACATCTCTTTTTGTGATGTATTTGATTGGTTGGGTAGGTTTTGTGCAGTTAGTTGTTCTATTCGTCATTATTTGAACTCGTATGCCTCCAAGGGTTGTAGCTTCGTGCCCTTTTTCTATGCATTCTAGTACATGTCAAGTAATTTGCTTTACTTTTCCGTGTGCTTCAGGGAGCGTTTGGAGCCTTGAGAAAAATCTGCGAGGACTTGTCAGATGAGCTGAACAGTGACGTGGTGAACCGGCCGCTGAATGTTCTTATTCCCAAGTTCTTGTGCTTCTTCAAGCACTCTGTTCCCCGAATTCGGTGAGTAGTGCATTGCCTTTGCCCGCTGCTCTGTGATACCAGGGTCACCATTACCGGTCCATTGGACAAAACAACTTCTGAAAGACCATTGCTTCCAATAGAGAGATGAGTTTATCTGACACAAATGCGATGTCAGTGACAAACTCTGGAAAATATAGGGCAGTTGAAGGTCAATATTGAAACTGGCACCAAGGCACATAACGATAGCGCTGTGTAAGCTGATGTTCTACCCATCAACAAGTCTGGTTATGAACATTCTGGGTATTTGGTATATACTAGAGCCGTTTTTGTGACGCGTGGTAAGTTTTGAATTTGGCAGCTGTGCTAGCACTCTGAGTTCTCGAACACATTGCCTGCCCCCTATGGTCAGCATTAAATATGCATCACCCTGTCTGTTTTCTCGGCTAGCACTCTGCTACCGTTTCGCTATATGAAGTCCAAGCCAGAGTGTGAAGCTGGTACCCTGGACCAGTTCTCACCGCATCACTGCTTAGTACTAGTTAACACACAGAGACCTGAACATGGGATTGCGACTTTTAATTAGTTGAGGGTGACTTATGATCGAAAAAGGTAGGCGGTAGGCTGAGTTGGCAGCTGCCATCACTTATTGTTTTGTGCATGTGTTCGTTGTTGCAGCTTTGTTTGGTATCTGCTTGAATTCATGGACTTTTTGTCTTCTTCTTTTTGCTTCTTTCTTGCGTCGCTATAGATCACATGCCATTGCATGTGTGAATCACTTTGTTCACATTCGCAGTCAGGCGCTCATGGTACACATGGACACGTTCATCAAGGTTTGTCTTGAGCTGACATGGCTGGTGCTACAGTACTTCTGGGTGTAGCTTTTGTGCAATATTCGTGCCTTCCACCAAACTATTGCGCTGACCATTCATGCGCCACTTTCCCACCAAGGTGTCCAAGGGGTATCACTGTCTCTGTGGGATATAGTCCGCTGTTGTATTATGCTGTTGATCATCAGTCTCTTCATGATTGCGCGAAGCAAGAAGCTCGAGTAGACACGGGTTTATTCCGCTGGACCTTGTGTGTGGGAAAAAAAGCTCTGGTGTGCTGACCTGCCAGCACTCTCATTGAGCACTCTGATCTTGTCTTCCCGTGTGCAAGTCAGTCTGTATAGATGAACACGATGGCTGTCTCAGTGTAATACCAAGAGTATATAAGCTCCCAAGAGTGTGCAGCTCTGTATACCCTATCCATGGGGTCCGCTGACGGCGAAAACTCACAACATGTGGTGTAGTGTTCCCGTTGTACGTTCTCAGTCCGCTTTTTAGCGACCAGTGCAGTAGTAAAAAATAGCGCTCCTTGACAGAAGCCCACTCAGCTTATGTGAGTCATCAGCATGATTGTGGCTGATATCCGGACTCTGTGCACGCTGGCCTTCGTTGTACATAGTACTAATCGCACTTCCATCGTGTGCTGTGAGTATTCACACCGTCGGAGACCCCATTTGCAGAGTCATGCACTCGTGGAGCTTTTTTACTCTTGATAATCCAGGTGGAATCCTGATGATTCGAACCCCAAAATGTCAGGGAAAAACTTTAATTATCCGGACATTCTAGTTATCCAAACGTGTACCCACAACACATGTATGTCACAATGCTCGCATTGTCACGCCGAGTTGCGCTACGAACCTTAGACAAGTCTTGTTGATACATGTACCTAGACCGCTGGATTTGGCTGCATGGCTTTTTGTTTGACGTTACATTCTACGATCTTGTCATATTTTTGTTGTTCAGGAGTTATTCCAGCTCGCCGGTGACAAAGACAACGAAGTCCGGATGAATGTTTGCCGTGCGCTAGTTATGCTCCTTGACGTACGGTTCGATCGGCTTGCCCCGCACATGACCGACATTCTCGAGGTAGGGAGCGTAATGCGAGGTAGTACATGTACTGCACTCTCTGTCTTTACTACATAACATATGTACATGGTATGTTTGCTCGTTAGCTTTGACAGCATCTTGTTGCATTTATTGCTGTGCTGTTTGTTTCATGCCTTGTACCTATGCGCCTCTTTTCCAACAGTACATGCTTTTGCGGACACAAGATGAGAACGAAGAAGTAGCGAAAGAAGCTTGCGAGTTCTGGCTGACCCTCGCAGAGATGGCAGTGTGTCCTGAAGTTCTTCCCAATCATTTGGACCGGTGAGTGGTTTTGTACTGTGTGCCGTTGTGAATGGGATGGTGACAGATATTGCTTGTGCTGAAAATAGGATTGTGACTCGACTGATACAGGGCTTGTGAAGGTTTGCAATGTGAGTTGGCACTGTGTGGCAAGCACCGTCGACCGACCTTGTGCTGTGACTGGTATGATGCATCCGATTCATTCTAATATTAATTGTATCTTGCTGTTGTCCACCTTGTAATGTTGCTGCAGTCTCATCCCAGTCCTCGCATCGCGTATGCGGTACTCAGATATGGAACTCATTACCCTCAAGGTATCAACTAACTACACTACTTTTGTAGCGCATTGCTTGTGCTGGTTATACACATGCTACTGCAGATGCAGGTTCTTTGCATAATCAAGTAGCGTGCTCCACTGCTCGAACACTGCTTAATACCCATATAGGGCAGGTTCTTTACACATACATTAACTTGACGACGGGGTAGGGGTTTGAGGCAAGGCGGCTTGCGCTGTGCCAAAGTACTAGTCGATGTCATTGTGAAGTGATTATGCCTGTGCTTTGCTTCTTCCTGGCCTATTCCAGGCAGATGAAGATGACCAGGCAGTGCCAGATCGAGAAGAAGACATTGCCCCGCGTTTTCACCGATCTCGAACGTATGGAGGCAACCACAGTGCACAGGCAAAGCATGGCGAAGAAGAAGGCCAGGAAGACGAGGATGAGGATGATGCAGATGATGAGGAAGATGGCTGGCCTGACCAGACCGTCACTATCTGGACGTTACGTGAGTGACTTTGCATAATTCAGTTGGACTGTATAATAATGTGTATTTCATGTACGTCTTCTCCCAAGAATTTGGGAGCGGTTGGCATTTTTTGGCCATTGAGTTTCAATTCCTTGTTTTCTGACAAAGAAATCCCTTCTTCAGGTGCGCAAGCTCCACTGCAGCCACTTCTTTACACTGAAAACTAGGGCTCAAACGATTAGTCCGATTAACCGGTTGCAGACCGGTTACGAAGAATTAACGGTTAACCGATAAAGATAACGGTTACGCAGTAACTTTTCAGTCAATTTTTCAAGTATCAGGTCGTTGCAAAGTGTGCACTTTCGCGGGGTGTCGCACGCGTACGCAATTTCTGGGCTGTCAACTCGGTCATATCTGGTCTTGGTGTGAGAGTATGTATGAATGAGCATGCAAGAGAATGTACAAGTGTGCGTTGTACTGAATAGGGTACATTTTTTGAATGAGTATAGTCAAATATACGGTTAAAAAAGAGTCCGCAGGATTGCCGTGGCTTATAGGTTATAACCGGTTAACCGACCGTTAGCTTAGCAGTTAACCGTCAGGGGTAAAACCGTGACCGTTTGAGCCCTACTGAAAACCCTACACACACCATCCTCGAAGCAGGTGGTCTCTTTGCCGCAAATTAATATTTTCTCAAACAAATTTTCGGCCTGGAGCTATCATCAGGAATGAAAATAGTAATTTGCAGCGAAGAGACCATTTGCTTTGAGGATGGTGTGTGTAGGGCTTTCAGTGCACAGAAATCTCTTGCCACTGCGATCATGAATTTCCCTCCCCTGTATATCACTCATATGAATAGCTATACAGTCAGACCTCGCTTATCCGGTCCTCATTTATCCGGATCCCTCGCCATCCGGAAGAAAATTGTTGGTCACCGATTTACAGCAATGCTATGCACACACACAGTGTGTGTTTTCGATTATCCGGTTCCCTCGCCCATCCGGATATTTTTGTGGAAAACGGATGTGTGCGGTTAAGCGAGGTCTGACTGTACTAGTACATTGTGTGTGCCACGCAGTAGGTCTACTTAGTGACCACCTACTGGCACTGTATAAACTTAACAAAGGTTATATCGAGTGCAAGCATTGTCAGTGCGCCATGGCCCCTACGCCAAGCATGCTGCTCGTACATACAGCACAGCAAGTGCATACTGCACAAGCCAATGCTTTTTGGAAACATTTTTCTTTTCTTTTTTAATCAATATGGACATCCGGCAGTTCTGGGTGATGGTGGGCATCGAAAAATGTGCCTTATAACCCATTTTTGAATGCAATCCACCGTTGTCTGTATGTCCGCTGGTGGACAATAATGCAATTTCTGGCTATGGTTGATCATTTTGAGAAGATGCAACCGCTTCTACCTATGGTTGTGTTTTGGTCCATAGGAAAATGCTCGGCGGCGGCATTGGACCTGCTGGCCAACGTATTCAAGGAGAAATTACTGGCGTTTGTGCTTCCGATCCTCAAATACACGCTGTTCAGCGCCGATTGGCTGTACAAGGAGTCGGGCATTCTTATTCTTGGTGCCATTGCAGAAGGTAGGCACCAGTATTTTTGATGACTTGAGATCTTGAACTGCATGTCACGGTAGACTGGGCTTGCTTATCTCTTCCACGTTCTTACTGACACTTTAGCAACATCCTGGATGCCTTTGACCTGTTGTTTTGCGCTGTTGGCTATCTACGTAGTTCTCTGTTCTCACTCTCTGAGAGGTATTCACATCGGGATCTCTCTCTCTCTCTCTCTCTCTCTCTCTCTCTCTCTCTCTCTCTCTCTCTCTCTCTCTCTCTCTCTCTCTCTCTCTCTCTCTCTCTCTCTCTCTCTCTCTCTCTCTCTCTCTCTCTCTGCCTTACCTTTACTGATTACCTACTTGGCCTCTGTACGCTCCGTATCTTTCTATTAAACGTTGACAATAATTGCCGTGTGGTTGTGGTGGAGTTGTTTGTGTAAAGGTGGCTGGTCTGCCCGTGTGCACGACTGACGACTCTGATGTGCCCCTTGTGGTGTTGCTGTGTCTATGTAGGTTGTGCGCAAGGAATGCAGCCGCATCTTCCCAGCCTCATTCCGTACCTCATTCAGTGTCTATCTGAACAGCGCGTTAGTAGTGCTATAGTGACTGCGTGCTAATTTGCTTGCTCGGGGTGTTAGATCACATGTATGTTGGCATTGCTTTGGGAAACCAACCCTTGATGAGCAGCCCACACATAAAGCCACATACTGTCAGGGGGGGGGGGGGGGGGAGTAAATGTTCTCCATATCTTCATGAGCATGTGATGCCCATTGACCTTCCCCTTTTTTCACTGCTATGGGTACTAGGTTAAATTTGGCAATCCTGCTTCTCAATTTTCCTCACATCGTGTGCTTGTTGTCTCCATCACAGGCATTAGTCAGATCGATCACATGCTGGACGTTGAGTCGGTACTCCCACTGGATACTGGAGCAGCGACACGAAGAATACTTGCAGCCACTCATGCAAGGCGTAAGTGGCTGTGCACGTGTTTGACGGTGATTTGTGGCTTGTTTTCTGTTCTCGGGGCCAAGTTGTACACATACTATGCGCAGCTTTCCACTTCTTCTTTTTTCGTGTGTGATGTCAATGCACTTTGATTCGATTTCTTTATGGTTATCAATTTTAAAATTCATGGGCCCGAATTGATGTCCGAATCTATGTCCGTCTCCTGCTTACAGCTTTTGGAAAGAATCCTCGACAGCAACAAGAAAGTTCAGGAAGCAGCATGCAGGTAAGTGACGGATGTTTGGCATTGTTAGACTAACTTTGACCGTACGATGGTGCAACAGACTCGTTAGTGTGCCCGGTTAAGAGAGGCACCCGGATAAGGAAAAGTGCAGTGTGTCTTGATACATCATGCTCAACCAGTAGGACAACACCCACAAAATTCAACGCCTGTGCGTTTTTGCAAGGTGGTCCTGATAGATCCATAATGCCGTCTCAATGGCGTGTTTGCCTTGAGCACAATGCGCTCAAACAGCTTTCTCATGCCGTCGTCATCTTGCCGATATCTGGCCAGCCGTCTCTTCAGGGTGGCATACATGTAGATACTGTTCCAGGCTGGAATACCAATGCATCTACATGTACTATGTTACAGTGCGTGTCACACCATCACTGCTAACACTGTGTTTGTATTCTCTGCTGCAGTGCATTTGCACAGGTGGAAGAGGAGGCCTGCACAGAGCTCGTGCCGTACCTTGTGCCCATCCTGCAGACGCTAGTTCATGCTTTTGGAAAGTATCAGGTATGCTTCTGCAATGCGTGCAAGGGGCCATGGCAGCTTGTGGTTATATCATTGCCCTGTTGACACGACAGTGTTCACATTGTGTTCACATTCCCTCCGTAGTCTGTAGAGTACTACTGTGAAGTGATTTTCTATTTGTAGCACCGTTCTCGGACTGCTAGCCTTGTAAGTTGTATCTTGGTGGATGTGCTTTGAATCTTCGCTGTTAAACCGATCAAGAGCCATACTACTGTATTTCATTTTTTTCTTGGGTGTGTATTCAGTGCTATTTCTGTGTGTGTGTGTGTGTGTGTGCGTGCGCGCGCGTGTGTTTTCGTGTTTTCGTGTTGTGTGAAGCACAAAAACCTGCTCATTCTGTATGACGCAGTGGGCACGTTGGCCGACTCTGTGGGCAATCATCTCAACAAAGATGTGAGTGAGGGTGCCTGGTAGCACTGGTAGAGACTACTGGCATGCATTGCCTGCCACTGGGTGCTGTGTTCCTAAGATATACATCGCGTGTTTCGGGATTACTAGTACTAGTAGTCTGCGTGCTCAACCTGTCTCGATTTTATTAAAACTCACCCTGCTCCATCTTGGCACGATTGGAGTATAGGGTCTATCAATCACAGTTTGAGCTAACATTAGTTCCATGTGGAAAGACTTCTCTATCCTTTGTCATTTGTATAGTCTCAACCTTTTCTGCCACATGTTGAGCCACATGGCAACAATGTATCCTAGTTGAGGAGGAAAGAAGAATGGTAGAGTTTCTCGGAAATGGAATGCTGCACTTGGCTGCGTGTCCACACCGCAGTGCTTAGGTAGTGTTTCTAATAAAAAACGGCTTTCGTAGAAAGTGTTGGCGCAAAACGAGGAATAATTGGTGCATCACGCCATGATGTGCATAGTCAGAATCCCTGAGATATTCAGTGCATTTGTCCAATTCCTGGTGATCATCTAGCTGTTTCCATGGAGATCATCTGAAAGTAGGATACAGTGTAACAGCAATCCCGTGGCCATGATCCCCGAGTTGTGTACTGTACAACACGTTTATTTCGCTGTTACTTTAAATTCGGTAATAGAGAAACCAGGCACCTAAATTTGGACTACACCTAAAAGGCGCTAGTGTATGCTGAAAATAGAAGACAGGAAATTGCACTTCAGTTCCCGCTTATGGCCCGGCCGATGGTTTCTGTGTCTTCTGTCATATAATTTGACATTGTGTGTGCGCTGTACTCTACTGTACTGTACAGGAGTACATCCAGCTGCTGATGCCACCGCTCATCGAGAAGTGGAACACGCTGAAGGACGACGACAGAGATCTCTTCCCGCTCCTCGAGGTCTGTTTGCTTGACCGAGAATTAATCCTCTTGAATGAGAAATGCAACTGTAATGCAGCATGCTATTGTTGCTATTCATGCTAACGTGGGTTGTAAACTGTCCGTCGTAGAGCGTTCTCTTTCTCTGTGCTCTTGAACGTATTGCTGGTGACTTTGTTTTGAGCCACCGTGTGTGAATCTCACCGCATTACAAGTAATCACGCTATCTGTGGGAAGCAAACGGGTGTTTGGCTAAGGTATGCGCTGTGTGCCCTGCCTGATGCAGTAGCCTCTGACATGTGCTTGTTTGATGTTGTGTTGCTACAATCTGCAGTGCTTGTCGTCCTTGGCCACTGCGCTTCAGCTGGGATTCTTGCCGTATGCTGAGCCTATTTTCAAGCGCTGTGTCAACCTGATCGAGAAGACGCTTGCTCAAGCCATGGTCAGGAGTGGTTGACTTTCACTCTGTGTCTGTGTGTATATGTGTGTAGTGTGTGTGTGCGTGCGTGTCTGTGTGTCTGTGTGTTGCCGCTCTAACTCTGGTAACCTTTCCTGTTCATTTCAGCAGAACGTGCTTACTCCAACTCAACTTCAGGGGTTGTCATGTTCTTCTGGAACGAACTTGTGCAATGTGTACGCCCTAACTATAAAGAAGACGCACCATGCATTCAACCGCGTTGTGTTCGCCCTGCACAGACTGCACAGACTCTGGCAAGAATATTGCATTTAACACTGTGAGAACCTGACTGTTTCCTTGTTGCCGCCTTTGTTTTGTCGACTGTTACAGGCTGCGCAGACGAGTCCAGAGCAATACGAGGTTCCGGACAAAGACTTCATGATTGTCGCTTTGGATGTGCTGAGCGGTCTAGCTGAAGGCATCGAGTCACAAATCAGCCCGCTCATTGCCAGTAGCAATGTGCTGGATCTGGTTTACCAGTGCATGCAGGTATGTTTTCAGGACGGGGTGCTAGGCTGTTGGCCAGAACGCCATTTCGGCACGTTGCACTGTAGGGCCTCGCCTTAGTGAGGGCTGGTGAGATTGATGGAAATTCTGTCTGCCTGCTGTATGACCATTCTCTGCTGTTTCGAACTACGCCACGCATCCAGCTGGTATTTTGTGTTGCCTTGATCTAGACTATGTCACTCGCCGCTCTGAAGCACCATGCACAATATCACTGGGTCGTCGTATACCGGATCACAATGAGTTAATCTCAACTTTTGTGATGAGCAACATGCGATTAGCATCGGTTTTTATGGCAACAATACATATGACTCCAGAGTTCTGGCACGCAGGCAGTGTTGGACTGTATGTGCAATAGAGCGACTTCACTCTCTACTTGTGCATTGCACTGCGTGGTTGGGTCTTCGCGCGCAATGTGAAGCAGCCAATCTCCCAATGCTTGTCGAATCGCAAGAGTGGTTATCGTGTCTAGCGATCTATTTGTGCCCAACGCCGCAAACCTTGCTGGTTAGGGGTAGCAATGGCATATTCATACTGCTCACCTCTATTGCATATGGACTGGCTTGTGCCTGGCTTGGCGTTGTGTGTACTACTTACTGGCATCTCACCTGGCAGGTGCTGCTTTGAACAAAGGCTTGTGGCATCCATATAGAGAGTGGTGGTGGTACCATTGTATTGCTGAGGGTGCATGCCTTTTCCTTCTTCCCTTTCTTATGTGCAGGACCGGATGCCCGAAGTCCGGCAAAGCTCTTTTGCTTTGCTAGGTGACCTCACGAAAGCTTGCTTTGAACACGTGGAGCCTTCTATAGGTATGGGATGCCGGTATTTACCGGTTATATGGCCGTGTTTACACGAGAGTTTTCAATCCGCGTCTGTGCATTTGGTGAGCGGAATAAGCATATGTTCGCTGTGTTATAAGCTGATTTGATGCTTGATGCTCTATTTCATTGGCTCTTTCCATGTCCACGCATGTGTGTGTGTGTGTGCGCGCGTGCGTGTGTCTTACAGGTGTGTTCATCCCTATCCTTGGTTCTAATCTCATTCCCGAATACATCTCCGTGTGTAATAATGCGATCTGGGCCATTGGAGAGATTGCTGTTAAGATGGGTAAGTTGGCATTACTTTCGGTGGTTTGTGTATTTTCGAGTCTGAGAGCACAGTTGCCTGTTGTCCTCATACACATAACCTGCGTGTGGCTGGATTCCTGGAATCAAGATTGTTGGTCAAGTCGTTTGGAGCAGTGCTGAAGCGACCATATTGCTTATTGTGTCATGTTCTTGCATGAATTCTCACAAAAGATTGATTGCTGTTATGAAATTCTCACAAAAGTGACAATTTCACTGCCCAACCCATATATGCAAGTTTGGCCTTTTTTTAATTCTCTAGTAAAAACTGCATGTTTGTTACTTGGCTGGTTTTGGCTGCGGCTCGCTTGAGAGGCAGGCAATGCGGTGGACTGCAATAGGGCTTGAAACTGATGGCATCGGAAACCAACAATATAATAACAAATAACGACGTTTGGATCCACTCTGCCCCTAGCGAAGTGAAGTATGTGTCACACGCAGTTGTTTATTATTCTGTACCAGGAGTGGGTCCCCGACCGGGAGGGTCCAGTCGCTCTCTTCGGATGTGTCACCCTGCTGTGAAGGGATACCACCTGAACCTGTATGGAGCTATACAAAACTGGATCCAAATGGATCCAAAAGTCAACTGGGCTGACTGGGACGTAGCACTTTCAAGCCCAATGTCATCTCCTCCTCCCCCCCCCCTCTTCTTGAATTTTCTTCTGTCCCAGGTGCTGGTATGGAGCCGTATATTGCCCTGATTCTGGACCAGCTGATCAACATCATGAACAGGATCAATGCACCCAAAACTCTCTTGGAAAACACAGGTATGTCTAGGTTCATAGGTGTCTGGACTTGTTGCCACTTGATCACTAAAATAAACTGTTGTGTCTGGACTGCTGCTGTTACTGGTCTGTTGGTGGTGTTGGTGTTTGGGGGGGGGGGGGGCTTTGGGCAAGTTTGTTTCCTTCTCGCTGCTTCCAGTTGACTACAGCTTCCTAGATTGCTCCTGCTCTCGTTCTTCTGATAGCGATGCAATGTTGGTGACAGGTGCGTTTGTATTGCAATGCACTTTGGTGGTGTGGCTCATTGTAATCTGTTGTGATTGTTTCTCAGCCATCACCATTGGTCGTCTCGGTATGGCATGTGCCACAACTGTTGCGCCGCACCTGGCACGCTTCATCCGACCATGGTTAGTTACAGTTTTTCATGCCCTTTTTAAAGCCTGTGTCCAGCTTGTCGAGTCACCTACTTTTACTGGTCTTTCAACTGGTCTTTCACTAGAACATGACTGTTCAGACAGTGAGGAAGTGAACATACTTACGTACTGATGAGTACGGTGTCTAGGCTACTTGCGTGCATCATTATAAAAGGCTGGTTCATGGCTTTAGGAAAGTACATGCGCACGTGTGTGTGTGTGTGTGTGTGTGCGTGTGTGTGTGCTGTTACTGCTGTAATAGGATATTTATGTGTGTCTTCTTTTGGTTGCCTTGGCTGCCATTGTCGCCTTGATCTACAGTCATACTCTTTGTTTTCTTACTTGACTTTGAGCTGTCCTGAAGGTCGTAGCCAGAGTGGCACTTCATGTAGTGTTTCACTGACCTTGGGTCGTGGCTCTTGTCACACAACATCGCTGTGGCTGGTATTGTGTTCTGCAGGTGCACATCACTACGGAATATCCGCGACAACGCTGAGAAGGAATCTGCGTTCGTGGGTATCTGTCTGGTAATCAATTCCAATCCCGTGGGCATTGCTCAGGTGAGTGATCGGTTAGAATACTACCTCGGTAGCTGGCTGCCGTGTTACATCTCATCTTGACTGACCGATGACTCCAAGTTGGTCCAGACGTGTCCTTGGTGTGTGAAAACGAACGTCTATGTGCGCATGAGGTGCCTATCGCTGGGTGTGTGATGTGGGCACTTTTTGTGATGTTGTCAAGACCTGCCTCCGTATATTCTCTTCTACTGCTGCGGGATGATTTTTAGCTGCTTGTGACACCCTGCACTTGTTTTTGTGTTTCCCTGTCTGCATCTTATGTTGTGCTGTGTTTGCAGAATTTCGTGTTCTTCTGTGACGCAGTGGCCTCATGGACATCACCGCCACTTGCACTGCAAGAGATGTTCCAAAGGGTGAGTTTCCTCAATAGGTATTGTGTGAATTGTGTTTTTTTCTTCACTTTTGTACACTTAGTGTAGGTTATTGCACTGCACAATAGTGATATCACCTGTGGACTTATGCTATGTTTAGCTTAGCACTAGCGTAACACATGTCCACAGGTGACATCACTATTGTGCAGTGCGATGTCCGGCCCTTCTCTTTCAGCAGTATCATTGAACTGAGTCCATGCGAATATGACCATGCCCGATGGCGCAGGCGGGTGGATGGTATCCATTGAGACCAAGTGGTTCTAAGAGAACTTCTTGTTGAAGGCCAAAGAATGAGAACAATAATAGTTCTGGTGTGAGAGGAAAGTGAATGTACTGTTGTTGTTTTTAGCGTAAAGAAGTCACTGTACTCTTACCTCTTTCTCATGTCCGTTTTTGTTCTTTAAATCTCGAAATGCAGATCCTCCACGGTTTCAAGAATGAAATTGGTGAAGCTGAGTGGGTCATGGTATCCAGTCAATTCCCAACGCTGCTGCTCGACCGTCTTAATGCCGTCTACGGCCTCTAAGTTCCATTATTTTTCTAGTAAGTCAGCACTGCCTCGATGGTGTTGATTCAGTTGTTGGTACATGTAGATTGAACCTCTTTGGAGACTTGAAAACCTTTTGCAGAAATGCTGTTTCTCTGTTGTAAGTCGTTCTCTGGCATGCCTTGGCCCCTGAAATATTTTTTTTATGGGGATACAAATATCTTTTTTTGTTTTCTGGAGTCTATGCATGCCAGAGAACGATTTAAAACAGAAAAAGCAGCACTCCTTATGTTCTGTAAAAGTTTATTTCACCTCCAAAGAGGCTTGAGTTACATTTTCAAATACAATGTACTTTTTTAAAGTGTTTCCCGTATCGGAAAGCCAGCAACAGTGTAGCAGTTAGTACCACCATATTTTCCAGGGATGTACATCGTGCTTTAGTGTTTTGTTTCTGACTAATCAGTCAGCAATTCGCCGTGTACGTAGCATTTACCCCGGACATGCATTTCAGTTCTCCAAGTACATGCAAATGCAAACGTGAATAATTTTTCCTCCAAGAGGAATAGTGGTAGCAGTAGCGACTTCGGCGATGATTTTATAGGAAAGGTGCTCGCCACACCGGAACGTGCTTTTCCGCCAACTGACTTGACACTTCGACTCGGCAAACCTGCGAGTCAAGTCAGTCAAGTGTCAACTCAGCCTGCGGAAAAGCGCGAGTTCCGGTGTGGGGAGCACCTTTCCAAGAGGGATGTGTGCTTTATGCACCACTGTGGCTGATGTCTCAGAAAATCCAGTAACTTTCACTTGCTTCAACAGCGTCTACTGTCTAGACTAGAGTATTCTGTTAGTAATGTCTAGGTGCTTGAAATGGTTGGCTGAAAGGAGCTGGCTGGCAGCTTGTGTGTACTCTGTTTGCTTTGGAATGTACTGTACCAGAAACAGCCGGATGGTACCGTTCACATTTTTATTGAATGCACTGTAGTAACATGAATGCACATGTACACTGCTCATTGCTAATGGTACGTTTCTTGTGCGCGGCCAACTGCATGTTGTTGTTCTCCAGGTTAGGAATATAGACAGTTAGTTGCATCCGTTGGAGCATCATCATCATCATCCTCATCCTCATCTGTTTTTTCACACTACAAGGAGCATGGGAATGCATGAATACACCGTCTGTCCGTCTGCTATCACACAATCCGGCGATATGCTGCTGGCCTTAGGCTTGCTGCTGATGCTGTTCTCCGGACTCCAAGTTGTTAGTATATCGCCACTGCCACCATAGCTGGAGGCTACTGACATGCACCGTGGTGGTGGTGGTAGTGACACTGGAAGTTGGCACGTAGCTTTGCCATCCCTCTGCCTTACTCTACGATTTCTCTACGCGCTGCACCAGACATTGCGCAGGAGCTCTGCTGTGGACAATGGTTGCAGGGGTTGGTTATCGTGGTCGCTATAGTTGTGGCCCTAGCCTGGTACTACCCACAAGAGAACTTTCTTAGTTCAGCATTTGTGTCACCTGGTGGTCATGATCAATGGCGTTTACCTTATCCAGGATTTTGTTCGTATCAACCACCACCGCCGCCAGCAGCACCAGCAACACTAAGTTCTTGATGGTACAGTTGTAGTAGTGCAAGTGCAACATGATAAGACACTTTCTGTATCTATCCATGTTATTGTGTGCGGCCGCTGCTGCTCCTCCTCAAGTCAAGTCTAGCCCAAGCGAAGTGAACAAACGTTGCTAGATCCAAGCTGCCCTTTAGTCACAACATGGCACGCGAGGTCGTGACGGCTGAAATTGATTTGAGCTTGAATGACGTTTTCCTCATTTCTTTTTGCCTCCCATTAGCAGTGGTGAGTAGTGGCAGTACCTGCTTTGCTTTGCTTTGCTTTGCTTTGCTTTGTTGTAAGTGCGTATGGTATCATCCTTGGCAGCTCCTTGTGCCATCTGGTAACGTTGGCTAGATCTTCTCCTCTCTCCCATCATGTATGATTGTATACACGCAGGCAACCATTCTTGGTCTCTATCTCTATCTCTTGTTTGTCCCAGTCGCTGTCCTTGCTTTTGTCCTCTATCTCTATGATAGTCTACTAAACACACCAATACACTCGCATATCCACAGCAACCGTAGTAGCAGCAGCATTTATACTCTAGCTGTTGCCGCTTGCAATGATTTCATTCTCTCTTATTATGTTTATTTCTTTATCAGTTCAGTATGTTTCTCTCTTATTTCTTCTGTTTGTTTTTGATTGTTTTTGAGAAGCCTGCGATGTAGAGAGCTGAGGGGTTAGACAGGAATAGCCTTGCAGAAATATTGCGTATCTGGTGGATTCATTTTTGATTATTCAAGTTTAGGTTTTACAGTCTTTTTTTCTTTTCTCTTATTCTTCGGTCCTGTGTAGGCCATCGAAATCAAAATACAACCCCCATGTAACCCCTCCGTATTTTATTTTATAATTTCGCAGTTTTTATTTATTTTTGCTTTTATCAAGCTGGTCTATGCTTTCCTTCCCTCTCCTGAAGTCTGGTTATGATTTTGTTGCCGTTGGTGCGTCGCACTAAGGGTAGCATCTCCTCTGTGACTTTTACTAGTTGCTTGCTTCAACGTTGCCCTGTAGTTGCAGTAATGTTCTATGTTTCTGCGTAGAGTCTTTCCTTTCCTGTCCGTCTTGTCAACTTTTTGACTTTGGTGCTGTTTGTGGTGCAGTTGCTCATGCAGAAAAGCCACTTGCTTACTTGCACACGCGCACATGTGCTGCCATTCAACTTGGCCAGTTGAACATTATGCTCCACAGTGCCAGTGCTCCGTGCTATACTGTATCGGTGCTCTGCTTTTGTAACTTGCATCAGTGGTATGTTGGCAGTGCACTTTTTTTCTTTGCTGCAATCTTGTTCTTCTTGATTCGTTGCCTGACTAGGCATCATTGGTTATAGTTGATTTAACAATTGCACTCGTGACAACTTCGGTCTCAATCTAGTTGTCTCTATGTCTTCCTCTTCTGTGGTGATGAGTACGATGCTTTGAATACAATTACGAAACCAACAGTGTCTGTGTGCTGATTGTTTTAAATGTTGTAACGTGAGGCTGTGTATTGACCAGGCGCTGAGCGGTTGTGATGGCTGTGCTGGCCAGGGAGTGAGTGGTCTATAAACACTAGAGCTGACCGGGCCAGTGTTGAAGTGGCTACTGCTGCTGTCGTGAGCTAGCAGGTTACAGTACTATCAGTAGCAGTCACTGGCGGCCATGGGATAATACCGTAGTGTCTTGTATTAAAGCCTATCTCATATAGAAGCCTGTTTTGAATAGAAGCCTGATTTTCAAGATACCCTGTCGGCACATACTGTATTTTACCGGTTATAGGTCGACCCCCCCCCCGTATCCGGAGGTCATAATCATGTTTTTAAAGTTTTTGCCCAACGAAGCACTGTTAACCGCTCCCTGCTACTAACACATGAACAAATCACATAAACACTCCTCATTGGATTCTGAAACATCCAAATCCTTGAAAAAGGCAAATAAACTTGGCAAAAATGCATACACATGGTGCACTCGTGTATTCAGTGCAGGTTATTTTTGGAAGATACCAATAATTCCCGGTTATAAGTCGAATCCCGGTTGTAAGTCGACCCCCACCTTTTCTCCTGCTATTTTCAGTCATAAAAGGTCGACTTATAACTGGAAAAATACGGTAAGCCTGGTTTTAGTGTTGACAGTAATAATTATTGAATTGATTCTTGGTTGGAGGGAAACAAATCAACCGAAGCACAGAAGCCAGTATAGTTTCGCCTAGGCCTTTTGTACCATTGCTTTTCAAGTCGCTATGTTGTCACTCACGCGGCTCTGATTGCCAACGTGCCGGTTTATATAGTATATAAGGACTTACTTGCCGCCATGCTGATCACCCGGCATTGTATTCGACTTGAAAAGTAATGGGACGTACGGCCTACTATTATAGTCGATACTATTATGGCTTCTCTGCTTCACGTGCTTTTAATTGTTGAATTGTAGCGTAAGACCATGGTGGTGGTATTGCCACTATCGGTGTTGGTGGTGGTGATATTGGTCTAAAAGAGATGATTACTTGGTTGCAGTGGAGCATGCCTCCGAATATTGAAGAAACTGTTTGATATTAGAGAGGTTCTGCAAAACGAAAATGTGTACGAACTTTCGCTCTACGTCACGAAGTGAGAAACTTCGCACGAACTTTCGCAACTTTGGACGCGAAACTTGCAGGGAACGCGAAATGAACTTTCGTAGGAAGTTTCGTGAGATTGGGTCATGTCGTACGTGCACTTGGCGCGTGCAAACGACGAAAATGTGCAGAACACAAAGTTCGTGCGAAAATTCGTACACATTTTCGCAAGGCCTGTCGCGAAACTTCGTTCGAATTTTCGTTGTGCAGAACCTCTCTATAATACGTATGCAGGCCTTGTTTGATAGGCTAACATGTTGCAGTCCTAGATCCTTCGCTTTGTAACGTGCTGTCGTTTTAAAAACTAATGCAATCAGGGAGTCGTCAAATACCCAAAATTCGACGACTCCCTGCATGCATAATAATTATGTTTATAATAATGCACATGAAGCCTCGAAATGAATAAAAATACCTTTTCTACTCATAGTACAGTACACGTACACATACGGTCATGTCTATGTACACGTATGTACACGTCGTCTTGATGGTTACCAGTTACAGGTAGGTAACAACCGAAATTCGCTCACCTGACCTTTACCCACAGAAGACGCCAGTCATCTGAACTCATGGCTATCATCTCTGTATTATCTCCATCGTACAATAGTCCATGTCCTCATTCGCGGCATTGGCATACAACGTTTACGTTCTATCGGCTATTGCAGCTGGAAATGTGATTTACGATCAACTCTACGCAGAGTACGAGTAGGAGGGTTTATCATTCTGTTCTTCAACTGATCACTGATGGTTATGTACTCTACTTCTCAAGTTAGTTGCAGTATTCATAGTCAGAAAGAAATGTTTCCATTCATTTGAATTTCAGAAATAAAACTGAGGCCATTGGCATTGATTACCCCGGCCCCCCAGAACGACAACGATGCACGTGCACGATAATCGATTATGCATGCAGCAAGATTTATTTTTATTTTTAGCAACATCTCATTCTCGACTCGAGCATGGGCGTTCAAAAATGATCGGCCATGCATGCATGGGCCATTATTATTAATTGAAGCAAAACGAGTAAAATAGTGGCTATTTTCAGTTGCCACTAAAGAAAAGTATGAGTGCTCGTAGATCTACTACAATTTTATAGTACGATCGTAGACCGTCTACAATTGTACGAGTATCTCGTATCGCCTGCATGCTGTAGTTGTAGCCACATTACCGTGACCATCTGAGGGGTTTCTGTTATAATTATTTTAGTAATAATTTGAGCTACAGTACAGTACAGACTGTACGTAAGCTACATCAGGACAGTAGACAGTACATGCTCCTGATAGCTCAGATACCAATACAGTGTACCATGGTGTACTGGAGGCAAGAGTGCTCTTGTTGTGAACTAATTAGTAACTAACTTGGAAGGCATTCGTCCTTACCTGAAACTGACAACTATTCACAAAGTCAACACACCCACGTGTTAGGGTAATGGTTGCCATTTCCCATTCTGGTTCCTCCAGTCAACGACGATGGAGCAGCCTACGACAATTCCTTCAGGTTAGCTTGAGTAACTTAGGAACTTTTTTTCCTCAATTAATTATTTTTACAATAGAAACACATCATTACAGTGGCAACAATGTTGCCAAGTAAGTTAGTATCATTTACACAGTTGAGAAAATTTCCAGAAGCTGTTAGGTGCATTCTTTTCACTAACAAATTCATGGGATTGACGGACGATGAGGTCAAATAATTTCTCTTAGTTCTGCAAAGGGCCCCTCGCTTATGGATTTCAGTCTTCCACGGCTTCACTTATCGCTCATGAAGATGTGTCTATGGAAACAGGGGAAACACATGCACATAGCTATAAGAGCAGCATGCCGTAGCATGTGGCAGTGTGTTTTCTACTACTGGCCGTTCGTTCTTACAGTGGTGGCAAAACAGAATTTGATTCTGTGAGCTTCTTTGAACTCGGATGGTAAGCCAAAAGTATTCATCCGTCGTGGATAAGAGGAAGGCACAACATGGAATGTCTCAGTACACCTTGCCAGTGTTGTGCCTAGTTGTCGCACTTTCTGACTCGTATATAATCTGGTTTGTAGTTACATTTGCGAGGGTCTAGTGCACAACAACGAAAGGCATGGTTTTAAAATGCTAGTAACTGTTAAACATGAAAATAATGTCGTCTTACATTCACTGTACATAGTTCTATTTACCCAATATGACGTCGGCCAGCTAAGTGAGAGCCGGTCCTTTCCACCAAAGAGAATGGGCCGAAAAGCTCCCATGAAGTATCTTGACTGACTTATTATAGAGAAATTGGCGGCATTGTTGCGCTATCTGATGAAATTAGCACCTTCTAACTCTTGATGCAGATATCTGTCAAGTTCGTTATAAATGATAATTGGAGGATAAGCAGTAGCTTTCGGCCTGTTCATCATTGATTTAGTTCGGACTCCGCAGAACATGCACTCTCGCATGCTTGTGTTGCTGGTATGCATGAGATGAGGTCGGCTAGAGAGTGCATGTGGTGGGGCTTGAACTAAATCAACTTCGTAAAATATTTTTTAATAAAATTAATGACGGTTCGCATGAGGCTGTCCAATTGAATTCTTTGAAATTTGCAATGCACCAACTTATTTCCTGAGTGCGCATAGTGTAATGAACTCCGAGGCTATTTCCATCCAATGATCAAGAGAGCACCTTCAAACCAGTGAGTATGCAGACTGGCGAAATAAGAAGTCTTTTTTTACACAAAGCCTCACCGAATTTCGAAAATCATAGCATAACGTGTGGTGATGCAGCGCAAGCTATAAAGTAGGTAAATTATGCAAGCTTGTACGTCTGTTTCCAGCAGTTCGGGTACATTTACAGGATATTGCATGCAGTCGGACATTGCTGAGGTGCGCAAGGTCCACTGCAGCCACTTCATTCCACGGAAAACCCAACACCATCATCAAAGCAAAGGGGTATCTTTGCTGCAACTTTTCAGCAAAGAGACCACTTACTTTGATGGTGGTGTTCAGTGGGTTTTCCGTGTAGAAGAAACTAGCCAAGTTACATCAGTACAGCATGCATGTATTCTGTGACTGCAGTGGAAGTAGTAAGAGCCCGAGGGTGTTTTTTTGTTTTTCTTCTTCTGGTATTGCAGTTGGCAGGTGTTGTGTTGCTGTTTGTGACCATCTTCGCCAATGTCTGGTTTCTAATGGACACGGCGGCACAGTTGAAAGAGCACCAGTTGCGACACCACGGCCATGGGCCGAAAGAATCTGCCGCTGATGCGGCACGGCACGACGATGGTTAGTAAGCTCAAAATGGTCTGGTTCTATTGCCAGCGACATGAATTCCAATAGTATGATGCTGTGGCTCGGAGTGTGGAGTGTGACACGATCTTGATAGGATTTCTTCCTCTTGCGATTTGATTCTTGTTATGAACTCTACCAGTTTGTTGTAATAAGCCATAGCCTGCACTTCCTGTGTTATCAATCTATCATACTAGTACTCAATTGCTGACCGATGTACTGTACAACATGTAAATCTAGGTGTGTTAAAATTTGGTGTCCAGGACCTGACAGGATTTAGGTGTAATTCAAATGTAGGTGACAGTAGTTTCGTTACTCTTGCGCCTTTTAGGTGTCATCTATATTTAGGTGCCTGGCATCTCTGCTGAAATTAACTCACTCTTTGTCCATGCGACACAGCCACGGAAACAGCTACTTCGAAGTAGTGAGATCTGGAACGTTCACTGATGATGGCCAACGGGCGAAGCTTTAGAGACTTCTCTAACTGTGTCTGTTGCTGTGTCAGTTGGGCAAGTAGTGAGTCAGTATTCACGGAGCAGAGGGTGAGTGCCTACAAGTAGGCAAGGGCGTCGGAAGCGGTACGACTGGTACGGCTCGAGCCGTACCACTTTTGGCTCCAGGTGGTCCACGCGGAACGTCCAAATCCGGTGTAAAAAATGGGGGTATCGAGTTTGTACATGACCACGCGTGATCGTGAGCCGCGATCCGTCACCGGTGCACCAGTCAGGTCACTGTACCTTTGGAGACCCTCTGAGAGCGGTATTTTGAGTGTTTTTTGAAAAAAATTCACGGGGGAGGTTTCCCCCGGACCCCCTCTGACTGTCAAGCCGTACCACTTTCTACCTCCTTCCGATGCCCCTGGTAGGTCAGAAGCCTTAGCCGTTGTGTCATTGTCTTGTCTTGTCTTCCATTGGTCTTACCATCACTGTCAGAGCCACGTGTACCCTCTGCAGCAGAGGTAGCCACTGCACTGCCCTCAGCACTGGCCATCACCGTCATCTCCAGCCACTCTAGGTTTTCAGTCATGGTCAATGACAAGATGGTATGGGCTATTTGATCGTGATCGATGCTCTCTGTATCTTGGCCTTACTAGTACTCCTGATGCATGCCATGGTCACATGGCATGATCAGCATTCGGTTTGTTTTTCAGTGCATGAGCACAGGGGATGATGCCATGGTTGTACATGTATTTGCCAACTTGCCTGGGACATTGGCGCCTGTGTGTGTTTGTGTGTGTGTGTGTGTGTGTGTATGTGTGTGTGTGTGTGTGTGTGTGTGTGTGTGTGTGTGTGTGTGTGTGTGTGTGTGTGTGTGTGTGCCATTTTTCACACTTATACTAACTATTCGTGTAAAGAGAAAGAACCAATAAGTTACGATTTATGACTAACAGTCCACTAAGGTAACGAGACAACATTCTGTCAGATAGTGCGACAACAAGGAGCAAAGCTGACAGGTGTACTGTGACATTCAATGACCTGGCACCTAGCTCCAACACATCTGCGTAGCGCAAACCAACAACCTTCCAACTTGGAAGGCTCAGGTGCGGAAAGTTCCAATGAGGGTAGGGAGGCGCCACGAAGATGTGTACGAGCTATGTTCGCGCGTAGGCTGTTAGGTAGGTCGTCAACAACTAGTTAGTTGTGTCCCTTGGTTGTCTATTGCTGTCGCAGTTCATCGCACTCTTGCTCGGTTTCTTCACACTTGCACCCTTATGTCTTTCCTTTATGTGTATGACTATGACTATGAGGTTATGCATTTTACCGTGTTGTTTTGGGGTACCGTATTTCCCCGATTATAGGTCGCACTTGATTATAAGTCGCACCCCCATTTCCAGGTTTGAGCCATAATGTTTTGATATATTGACTTCAGTAGTAAGTCATGCTCGATTGTAAGTCATGCTCGATTGTAAGTCATGCTTGATTGTAAGTCATGCTCGATTGTAAGTCATGCTCGATTGTAAGTCATGCTCGATTGTAAGTCATGCTTGATTGTAAGTCATGCTCGATTGTAAGTCATGCTCGATTGTAAGTCATGCTCGATTGTAAGTCATGCTTGATTGTAAGTCATGCTCGATTGTAAGTCATGCTCGATTGTAAGTCATGCTCGATTGTAAGTCATGCTCGATTGTAAGTCATGCTCGATTGTAAGTCATGCTCGATTGTAAGTCATGCTCGATTGTAAGTCGCACCCCCTTTTTCACCCTTGATTTTTAGTGTAAAAAGGTGCGACCTATAATCGGGGAAATACGGTACTATTCTTTGTGCTCTTGTTATCACATCACTACAGTACAGTTTAAAATTCAGTGTGATCTGCTGATTGGTCAGTTTCTTTTACCTGTATTCCACCTGATGAGAAGGCAATGAAAGTACTAGTGGAAGAGCTTTAAAGATGTTGATTATGAGAAGTCTGAAGCTTGTTCTTTTCTTCTTGAGTTATAAGGATGACGTTTGCGTAATGTAGTACATGTGCAGTCATGCTCTCTGACATCAGCTGTCCTGGATGACCTCTGCAATACTAGTCTCTGGTATTGAATTGGTGGTTTGTGCTCTGACATGTAGCTCGTTCAAGCAGTGGGTGGTGATCAAGATCGCGGTGTTCACGTGGCTGTTCTCCACCCATCAACTGTACGTACATGTGCTGGGTTTCCATCATCTGTGAACGTGTGCATACTGCATTGTAGATGCATAGACTTGCAGGATAGTGTCAGCTCAGTTCGCCTATGAATGGTGCAAGATAACTTTTCATTAGCAATGATGTACATATAGCAGTGCTCAAGGATTGCTTCAAAGCAAGTCATAGAGTTATAAGCTGATGAGCAGATGGCTAAGATTGTGAGACTTTGAAGCCGTATCTTTGGTAGTCACCACCTCATTTGCGCGCTTGGCATTATAGTCTGTTTCAAAAAGATTTACAATCAGGTTTGGGTCTTAAAAAGTATGAAGATCAGGGAAATTTGGACAACAAAGTACATAGAATGGCTTGTTAGGACACGGCAAATTGTTCTCTGAAGGTTTCGGAACAATCGGACCAGCCCTTAAGGAGTTAGAATTTCGGCCAGGTTTCCGGCCTTTTCCCATGGTTTACAATTTGCCCAGGAAGCCAGTATCGATTTTTTATCAAAACCCACGATTTATCCTTTCCTTTTTGGCCTTGTGGTTATGAATGCTGTCTGCTGACCATGAAGTTGTGAGTTCAAATCCCAACCTATCCTCAAGTCAAACTTTTTTTTCATTGTTTTGGTGATCAAGCTGGTACAAGACAAAGAAGATGGCTGCACCAAATGACTTGTTGTTGGAGCTCGCGCTTCCTGCCGAACTGACTGACACTTGACTGGCTCACGCCATGTGAACAAACCCACAACACTGAAATGGTGTGAGTGAATATGGAAGTCATCGAGCTGTAGCTTTTTGAGATTTATTTTAGTATTTCAAGACCGCCAATTTATTTGAATTTAGCAGTCAACGCCGTCTTCTATCAGCGTTCACAAGCGTCTGCTTTTCTCAAAATGTCGTCGAAGTCACACTGATAGCTTTGCCAAGTCATGGCCTTGGGAATGAGTCCGTGTCAATGTCGCCGTTTTCGTCACACGGTGAGTAAATTGCACCGCAGCTCATTTTGGTCACAAAACGAATTGGGACACATGCCGCTCGTCAACATTTACAACACTTTTGTTTCGACATGTCCTCTCTGACTCCATTATCGATACGAGGAAGAACTCGTTTGTTGTAAACCAGACGCAGGGAGTCGTAAAATACCGGTATTTTACGACTCCCTGACCAGACGTACATGACTGTATCAACGTGAGTGAGTTGTCATTTTTCCTGCTTTCGCGCGGAATATTTCTTCGAGTTCACAGTGAGTTTTTCCAGGCAGCGCTCGAGTGCTCATACGGTAAGACGCCAAACTCCGCGGGCGATCGCCAGGATTGCAAATCTTTTTGAAACGGACTGTAGTTTCCGCGTATCTGTACGAGCAGGAACTATGGCTTCTAGGAGTGACTTGAACTATGGCTTCTAGGAGCGACTTGATTGGCTTCTAGGAGTGGGGACTTGATCAGCAGATGTACTTGTCTTGACATTCCTTCCAATAATCAGCTTACTCGCTCTGCCTGTGCAGCTTACTCGCTCTGCCTGTGGTGGTGACATTGTGCTGTCGCTCCGTGTGATTGCAGGGCCGACTCATGGCTCATCAAGTCTTTGATACTTACATGGACAAGACGTTTGATGCTCTCGTCTTGTTCATCAATTCTGTCACTCCGGGAAGACTGCTCTGTATTGCTATCAAGGTCAGCAGTTCTGCAATGGATTGTCCTGGAGACGTGTACAGTCAGGTTTTTACTCTGGGGAGATTACGTCGCGTTTGCACAGCTGCGTGCGATTGCGTTTGAATTCACGGAGTTTTTTTTACCTTTATCCTCCCATTTACCAACTTCTTTTTTAACACGTACTCTGATCCGGTTGTGGTATCTCTGTTGTGGGCATGTGTGTGCACGTGCCACTACATGATCATCATGGCATTGTATGGATAATGTTCTGCTGTGCTGTACATTGCAGGATGAGGGAACATTCAACTTGAAACCGCCAGCTCGTGCAATACTCAAAGCCCTGGGCAGCAAGGCTGCAGGTGAGTGCTCTCTTCTTCCTCGATTGGAGTGGGGAGTCGTTGCGAGGAGTCGTTGTGAGGAGAGGTTGCTACTTTGGGGAAACTGAATTTGCCATAGCTGTTGATCCAAGCCCAATGTGCGACTTTAGAATAGGTAATATCTGTCCCAATCTCATTCCTGCTCCTGGTCCCTGCCCATGCCATTTCCACACTCAGACGAACAGACTTTACAGAGCCCCGCGAAAGAAGAAGCGAAACACATCCGGATCACCTGGCTCTCATACACGAAGTATGCATTTTGAATGTGTTGTTTTTCTTGTGTGCTTGCCTGCTGTGTGGACGTTACAGAAAGCCTGGCCTGGCGAGACATGTGGGCACTGGTGGCAACAAAGCATGGTATGTATTTTCTGACCGTACATGTACCTGTATACATGTACCCTTTCCTCTTTTGCCATCACTTTATTCTGGGCGGTTTTAATGTACAGGTAAGGTATTCACTCTTCCTCACGTCAATGACTACCGTATTTTCCCGAATGTAAGTCGCACCTTTTTACACTTTACTTCAAAACAAAGAAGAGGGTGCGACTTGCAATCAAGTGTGACTTCCTACTCGTGTGAATGTATTGATACAATTTGGTTCAGACCTAAAAATGGGCTGCGACTTATAATCAAGTGCGACTTATCGGGGATATACGGTACGTCATGATCATGTGTGTCTGCATGTCAGCACGATGCCTTTACTACTACCGTAAAGTACCGCCAGAGCGCCTCACCTTGATTTTACAGCCATTGAAAGGAAAATCGTATGGCAGAGTGCAACAAAGTTTGTACAGTGTGAGAACCTTGGTGTACTAACGTCAAACTTAGCAGGTTTTTGTGTGGAGCTCATGTCCGTTCGAAGGTACGGATTGATTGCACAACGTGCCACACACACACACACACCTTTGACCTTTGACCTTTGACGCCCATCGCCGGAGGCGATGATAGCAATGCTACGGCAGAAGCCATAGCAACTTGTGCTGGGATTACACCATTCAACAGCTTGCAAGGCTGAAGAATTGACCGTCACTATTCAGCCTGGTCTACACCATACAGCTATTTGGAGTGACATTTTCTGGCCAGTGAATCCCTTTTTTGGTCTTTTTCATTTTTTCTTTTTTTTTTTTCTTTTTTTTCCCACACACACACACACACACACACACACACACACACACACACACACACACACACACACACACACACACACACACACACACACACACACACACACACACACACACACACACACACACACACACACACACACACACACACACACACACACACACACACACACACACACACACACACACACACACACACACACACACACACACACACACACACACACACACACACACACACACACACACACACACACACACACACACACACACACACACACACACACACACACACACATACCTGTCCTGTCCTGTTGAGCCACTGCCATGAAGGTTACGTGGGCCCCGGAGGGGCAGCTGAGAGAGAGGAGGAGCACACAGCCCTGTGACGATCCAGGTGATGCGGTAAGCGAAATCGGTGGGAGCAGGCGCAAACACACGTGAAACCCTGACGGTCCTGAACGGTCGGACGACTACAAGTCCGCGAGCAGCGATGACGGGCGCGGCCACGTGTAGACGCAAAGCAGCGGTCACAAGCCTGGCAGTGAGCGACGCAGCACAGCGGAGAAGCAGGCAGGGGCGCAACGACTGCTGACTGGGGGTAAGTACACTTGTGCCTTGCCAGACCTCCACGGGACTTCAGCCAACGGCCACACTCTCCACACTGGCATACACCTT